CGAACATGCCTGGTCAGATCAATCCCGCGTTGACATCATCGCAGTACAGAGAAAGCCCCCCTCCGCCTCGCGTTCTGAGTTCCCAGGGCTTCTACCAGCGGGAAGCAGCAGACTCATCTGAAGATAATGAGGACCCATTGGAATCGCAGTCTGCTGCCTTTACCCAGCCGGACCCCCTCTCATCTTCATTGCACAGAGCGACTCCCCCTCCCCCTACCCCTCCTCGCGGATCTAGCTCACAAGGTCATTACGGACAACAATTTGAAGACTCTTCGGAAGAGGAACAAAATGATTGGGACAACGACTTCACTCCTGCTCAGCCCTCAACTCTATCGACATCGCAATTCGGAGCCACTCCCCCGCCCCCGCCGCCTCCCCGCCTCCCCAGTTCCCTGTCACAGAGCAGACTTCACGTGGAGGACTCAGACGAGGAAGATCAAGGTGTCTTACCCTCTCAAGACTCACAGCCCTTCGCGATGGCGTCTTCAGGTTACAGGGCTACACCCCCTCCTCCCCCGCCGCCTCGTGTGCCTATTTCCCAAGGCTTCCATCATCAAGAGCAAGCGGACTCAAGTGAGGACGAAATCCCCAACATCGCTCGACCTGGTCAGTTCCCCATTTCATCAACATCTCAATTCAGGGCCACCCCGCCCCCGCCCCCACCTCCGCGAGCCCCAGTCTCGCAGGGTCTCCATGGCCAGGATCTCTTGGATACCAGTGACGAAGAAGAGGATATGGATGATGCTTGGGAATCGAATGCCACTCGGCCCGGCCAGATGCACAGTCTGTCGACGTCGCAGTACAGAGCGACCCCGCCACCGCCTCCGCCTCCGCGTGCCCCCAGCGCACAGGATCGCTACCGTCAACCACTCGAAGACTCCGACAGTGAAGAGGAGGACATGAATGCTAATAAGTATGGCCAGACAACGGATGTGACGGTGACACTCAACAACCAGTTGATGGAGAGCGACCCGATAGCAACCAACCCAATGAGCCCAGCAAGCCCCCTGGAACCGAGTCCGACGGCGACGACAAACCTGATGAGGTCAACCAGCCCTCTGGCGACAGTAAGCCCGACAGCCCAACAAAGCCCCATGGAAACACCATTCACGGCGTCGGGACCCAGAAGCAGTCAGGATCTTCCAAGTCATCCAAGAGAAGAAGACGGGGAAGAAAGCGATGATTCATGGGAGAACATCAACCAGCGCGGCGAGGCGGCCCGTCTTGCGACCGACTCAGCATTCCCCGCGCCCACGCCCCAGCTGCGTGTCGACAACTACGAGCAGCAGTGGGCCAACGCAAGCAACGACCAGATCTCCACAGCATCGACTTACCTCACCCCAGCTGGACCGGGAGACTTCACGGACACCGATTCGCAGGAGTACGCCACTCCCCTGGCTTCAGCCGGGCTCAGCGCGTCTTCGCAGTACACGCAAGGCGCTCTGGACTCACCGCGACATCCGGAATCTGCTGACATCAAGGACAGCGCTTATGACCCAGCCTATGCTCAAGCAACGTCTGGTGTTCCGCATGGACAAGACATTCCGGCTAGTCACCTCGAAGACTCCGACTCTGACAATGACAGCGACTACATCACCCCGGGGATCGCGCCTGCTGCTCCTTCATTCTTGACCCAGTTCAACGCACCTCAACAGCCAGAAGCAACTGAGCCGGTCTTGGAGCAGGTCATCGACTCGTTCCAGAGCGACGACGACGATGGACCAAAGACTGCAGTTATGGCGTCCGACGAGCCTGTCACCCAGTACGCATCTTCACGGTTTGGAGCATCATCATGGCGTGATGAACTTCGATCCCCGTCACTGTTCGGGGCTTCTAGGCACAGCCGCTCCGACTCTCTGAGGTCAGAGCTCCAAAAGCCCATCCATGAAGGTGCGGAGACGGGGCAGCCCTCTCCGTTGCAGACCCAGGCGTATCAGCCCGAGGTCCATGTCCAAGAAGTTCACAGCCCGGAGGAGGCTCAGATGTACGACCAGGCTTTCGGACAAGACCCGTATGCTGCCGCTGCGCAACAAGCTCAAATGTACGGACAAGATCCGTACGCGCAGCAGCAGTTTCAGCAGTTTGGTCACGTCCAAGATGCCGAGCAATACGGGCGGCCACAGTACAGCCCGGACTACCAGCAAACTCAACACGGGCAATTGTCTTCACTAGAGGCCGAGTTGCAAGAGGCGGACGACTCGTCAGAGGATGAGTTTGAACATGCCACTCCACAGTTGGCACCCCAACAAAGTGAGCAAGCACCGGACGTGAGCCCCCTTGCTTTACGCCAGGAGTCATCACCGGCTACCCCCTTGCGTGCCACTCCTGCTACACCTGTTCAAGGCACGCCCTCCACACCGTCTCGTGGTCTTGCCAACAGCAGACACAATCCTGACCGACCACAGACACCGCCTTCCCAGCCGGTCGTGGAGGAGGACTTTGATCCCGATGCATTCGTCCCGCGCGACGTGACCAACGTCCCTTGGCACGCTCGAACCGACTCTGTGCCGTACTCCGTACAGAGCCAGAGCACGATAGACTCCATGGCATCGTCACCTATTCACTCAGCGCTGCCTGTCGACAAGCACGAACCCGTCATTCGGGACTCGTGGCCAGCCTCTGTGCATAACTTGACGCGTCCGCGGAATGATTCTACTCTTACCGATCGGTCATTTGACGATCCCTTCAAGTATGACGGTGGGGGCACCAAGTCACTTCATGGAGCATCGGGCTCCGTCGGATCGACGTCCGACAGCCCTGGACGGGCTTCCGGCACAGGCAGTTCACCCGGAAGTCTCATCAGTAGGATGCGCGGGATCTTCGAAGGCAACCAAGCCAAGCAAGAGCCCGCAAGCCCGGTCCGATCACGGCCGGTTTCGGGTGTCTTTCACCCAGTCCGACGTGCCAAGGCCGAGGACGAGGACGACGGCCCCGGCTATCAGCGCAAGGCCGGGTTTCTCAACGAACACGAGGACGAGGTTGACGAGCAGAGCGCACTCCTACGAAACTCTGCTGGAGGGCTGGAGGCAAATTGACCACGCTCGGGCGGAGCGGGGCTCAAAGTCATGAGGGTGAAGCGGGACGCGGAATACGATGATGTGGATGACGACCGCCCGATGCGGAAGTATCGAAAAGATGCGAGCGGCCTCCGGGTGCCGGTCGTCTGGACCGAGGTGCGAGAGCCCGAAGAGCCCTCTGGCGAGAGCGTGTTTCGTCTTGCGTGGTTGTTTGTGGAGGGATGGCGGCAGAAGCTGCGGAAGGCCGGGGACATGATTGAGAAGGCGCGATGGGAATGGGAGATTGATGGCACGACGACGGCCTGTACGCATAGTCGGGCGTCGAGTTTGACGTTTGGAGTTGTGATTGCGGATGCCCGCATACGTGTGCCTGAAGAGATGAACAAGAAGAAGAAACAACGGAAGTCGGTGCATTGGGCGTTGGATGGATGAATGATGCTTACGAATAATGGATTACGGACATGAACATGGTCATGATCATGGGCATTGGATGGTTAGAAGAGGATCATGAAATAATAATGACTTGTTGTTTTTGGCACACCTGATGTTTTTGGCACACCTGACTCTTGGATCTTTCATCTTCGTCCCAACCAGGTGTAACTAGAAATCACTGATCAACATCGAAACGCGTCTACCAGATAGAATGTCTGCTCGAAACAGTTCCGGCGCAAGCTTAGGTTGCTATCGGCTCTTGTTGCGGTCGGACCACGGAATTCCCCGCTTCGCCGACAAAGATCGTCAACTCTCTTGCGTTACTCCGAATGGGTACAAAACCCCCCAACCCCCTTCTCACATGCAATTACCTAAGCCACATCCTCGGCGAAAACAGCTGACACGGGCTACTCCAGGCTTGTCACGACCCTTACTATCAAGTCCCTCGCACATCGCGATAACTTTCGTACTCGCTGCGAGATTATCCAAGGCCCGAAGGATAAGGCAAGTCCAAGTTGAAGCCAAAAAAAACTTGATTTAGAATGGATGGAGGACACCCTCTTATCACCCTTTTATGAACAACATCCCGGCGTATCGATAACGCTCTAGACCCCCTTTGTCTTCTTTACATTTGCCTGATTCAGCAACTGGCAGATTATGTCCCAGCAGCAGCAGCAGCAGCAGCAAAATGAGCCCTCCTCTGCCACTGCCTCTGTCCCGGCGTCGTCACCTCCTGCGGTCCGAACATTCAAGCGGGCTGCAGTGGCGTGCAAGGCTTGTAACCTGCGCAAAGTGAGGTGCACCGTCACGTTATCCGGCCCACCATGCGCCAACTGCTCTGTGGACGGCATTACGTGCGAGGTCCTGAGTCGTAAACGACGGCGGTAAGTTCCTTCGTGACTATTACCCTCTTAGAAGACGTACTAATTACCACAGCAACTCGGACCAACTCCCGACACATCCCGGGGGTGGACCCGCTGGTGGTGAGAACCCGTTGATCATCATCCCGCAACGGGGCCAACCCAAGCGCCGTCTTCTTGAGCCGCAAACAGCAGGCCCATATCCCCGGGAAAAGTCTGAAAGCTCAGAGAATCGCAATGTTCGAGGGGGCTCGGCGCCGCTTGAGGAGCACCGCCATGCCAATGATGGGCCCGGATCACCAACTCCCCCCGGACTACTGGCGAGGAACAACTCCGTGGGGGACGCATCTGCCCACACCACTCGGCCCTACGATGCCGTGAGAGCTCTGCTTCCCGCCAAAAACCAGCGATCGGCCCCGGATCCGTCCGATGCTACCGAGGACAGCTCCGCTTATGCAGAGACCCTTGAGGGCGGCAAGAACCGAGAGGACGGCTGCGTGCCTTTCTACCCCGGTAAGGACGCTTACCCTACCTGGCAGTGATGAGTGCCACGATGCACCTCGCATACCAACTTGTTTACATCAGAGCTTCTTGTTAACGTCACTACTTAGGAGACCAACGTGGCCCAGCATTCTTGATTGATATCTGTGAACCAAATCGATCCTCACAGGACAATCATTTCTTGGTACCCATGCCGTCGATCAAAGCTCTCGCCCCAGAGGATGTCAACTACCTACGATCCAAAGGCGCCTTTACGCTGCCTCCAGTTCGCGTTCGCGAGGCCATGATACGGTGCTACTTTCAATACGTTCATCCATTTGCCCCTATCCTTGATGCAAACGAGTTCATAACCGAGTATGAGAAAGGACGGAAGAGCCTCTTGTTGCTATGGAGCATGTTCATCGCGGCGGCAAGCGTAAGACATGCCGGGTTTTCTCAGTGTTGATACATAGCTAACTTGTGACTATAGTTTGTTGATGAAAGCCTGCTTACCGAGGACTTCTATCCCTCGAGGAGGGCGCTCAAGAGAGGCATGTATCAACGAGCAAAAGTGAGCGTCTCCAACTTGATCCTACTCATCTTTTCTCTAACTTGACACAAGGCACTTTATGATGCGGACTACGAAAAAGACAAAGTCACTCTCATTCAGTCTCTCTTCCTAATGGGACACTGGTATACCAGCACAGACGACCGTGCCGGCCCATGGCATTGGAACGGCATCGCCGTCAGCCTCTCTCACACCATCGGCCTCCATCGTCTCAACATGCCATGCCAACAGGCCTCCCAAGGAACGAAGCCATTCTGGAGACGTCTCTGGTGGTCGCTATATAGCCGTGAAGTATGGCTTTCACTGGGCCTCGGTCGACCGATGCGCATCGCCTTTGACGACTTTGACACCCCCATGCCGGCAGCCTGCGACGCGGACGTCCTCTCACCCGAGGTCGCGGGGAACCTCGGCCGAAAGTACCTTCCGGGCGAGCTCGGCTTCCTGTTCGACATCTGGCTCGAGTTTGTCGGACTCAGCGCGACGCTTGGCAATATCCTTTCGACGAATTACCGGGCAAAGGGTGTGAAGCCGTCGAGAGCTGACATTGAACGGAGCGAGAGCCAGATCCGGCCGTTTCAGACCCGGGTCCCGGATGCCACGAACCAAAGTCGGGTGGTTGCATCTCACATATACCAGTTCAAACTTTACTTTGAGTAAGTTGTCGAGAAGTCTGTAATATGCTGGGAATGGGAGCTTACGAGCGTTCAGAACGTCCATCATTGTCCTTTATCGACCCTTCATCCTAGATACCCCGCGAGAGATCCCGGCCGCTGATCAAGGCAACTGGAGGACCTTTGCATGCCAGAAAACCCGGACTGCCGCGTCCAATGCGAGCGCAGCAGTGAACTCCATGATGGCGGAGGATCTTATCCGTCTATGCCACACCATCACGTAAGTCAGCCACCTAGATGTTGGTCTGGAGTACAACTGACGCAACGAGCAGAGTCATCGCACTAGTGCCACCAATGCAGATTCACCTCTTCGAATCAACGTCGTCCAAACAAATGGCACGCCAAATGGGCAGACACAATCTCGCCTTGTGCATGGTTGCCATGGACGAGTTGCGCAAGAGCTACATCTCGGCAGAGGCGTCGTACAAACTCTTCGAGACCGCCATCAACAAAGTCGACAACGCCCCGCCTCACCAAGAGCATCAACCATCTCCCGCAGCGCCCACGGCGTCAACTACACCGGACGGCACAATGAATAGCAACACCTTCGCCGACTGGCCAGACGGTTACGGCCTGGGCAGCGCCAACATTATATCGAACATGTGGAGCCCCTTGCCCGGCGCATATCAGGACGACGCCTCCATATCCGGAACGCAGTAAGTGCCGCGAAGCTTCCACGAGAACACGAATCATTGACTTGGCGCAGCACCGATGCATGGCTGGATATTCAGTCGATGGACAGACTGTGGACACTGGACGACTTCAGCCTCCCGTAAAAGGGGCCAGCACCGCACCGCGACGATCAGTGAACGAAGTCCGGTCCCGCCATGCCTGTGGGATGAACTTTATTTTCACTGAGCAACTCATTCCAAATCCTCAGGCTCTGCTCTCGGGGTCCTTCCGGGGCCTCTTGGCCCGTCGGACGGGGTTCTGAGATGTCGCACAGATATCATGTTCTGCGGACCGGTTTTCGGTCGAATCCTATCGAGAACAGATGCAACACAATCATGAACCGGCGGCGCGCCGACGAATATTGAGGTGGCTCAGCGAGGGATTGCTCCGATCCCTGAGCACTGTGACCCACTTGTTGCCGAGGCCGAGGTGCCGAGGCACTTTGGCCGCTTTGGCGCTAGCATATGATGCTCTGCCTTAGTATGGGTGCGAATTGAGCTTCAAACTCATCCGTGGAACATGGACTGCGTATAATTGATGCTAATACTGGTGGAATTTTGATGTAAGATAGTGTGCCGATACCTCTAATGAGAGAACGACAGAATCTGGAGAAATTCTAGCTGACAGGCCAGTACCAGAGTGATTGCATGTATTTGCTGTTGATCTCTGCATCTAGAACTCCACAAGACATGAACGTTAGAAAACCTTCCAATTAAGCACGTAACTGCCTATTCACTAAATTGGAAGAATATAATCGCTGGTCAGTTTAAGATCTCAAAAACAATCTTACATTCAGAAGATACTAGAGATACAAAGGATCGCCTCGATCGTCACCAATGTTGCCCTAGCGAACGTGTAAGCCGAGCTGCCTCAGAGTTTAGCTTTCAACCCTGGAATCGCCTCCTTGGCTCCAGGTTTCCACCACGGCCAGAATGGAAACTCAGATCTATCGATGTCTCCAGCAAACTCCGGCTTTCTCTTCTCCATGAACGACCTTAGACCCTCGACATTGTCCGGTGACCCCGCTGAAGCAATGAAGGTCCTCGAGTCCAGCAAATGAGTTTCCTCAGGTGTGTCGGGGCAGTAAAGCATCAGGTCCCTCATTAACTTGGTGCTCATGAGGGATGTGTTCTCCGCCATATCAACCGCCGTGTCTACCGCGTACTTGAGTGTGGCTTCCGGGGTCGGGAGGTTATTCGAGAAGAGGCCGCTGACCATAGGGTCCGACGCAGCATACGTGTTGCCCGTCGCCGTCATATGCATCGCCCTTGCGAGGCCAACAAGCTTGGGAAGGTAAAAGGCACTGACGGATTCCATGGTGAATCCCCGACGAGCGAAAGGCATGCTGAGCTTTGCGTCCTTCCACGCCACTCGGATTGTGGCTGACAGGATCGAGGTTAGGCCAAAACCTGCCGCAGCACCGTTGACGGCTACGATTGTTGGTTTGATGCAGTTGGAAATAGCCAGAGCAACTCTGCCGCCTCTGTACACAAGTGTTAGTAGCTGCGTTTCGACGTAAATCATGAGTGACTTACGGGTCTTTCCATTCCTTCATTGTCTTTTCGTTCTCCTTGATCTTCAAAAGCCCCTCCGGGCCACCCGAGAGATCCATTCCGACGCAGAATGACTTGCCCGCGCCGGTAAGCACAATGGCCCGTACACGCGTATCTCTGTTAAAGAGATTGAAGACCGATTCGAGCTCTGTGAGGATATTCTCGTTAACCGCGTTGTGCCGTTTGGGCCTGTTGAGAGTAACGATGACTACTTTGGTCGCAGTAGGTGCGTCGGCGGGGACATGGCTAATCAATATGTCCTTGTAGCCCGCAGATGTGTACGACTGGGGGATTGCTGTATTATCAGAATGAGACATGGTACGGAAGGACTTGATTGAATCAATCGCTGGATTCTGTGGACGGGTCTGTTCAAGTAAAAATTCACTGCAGTGTTTGCTTGATATCTAGGCTTCTTTCCTCCGCGGATCTGATACGATTTCTCTCTTAATTCAACGGCAATCGCATCTCAGATTGATTATTGTACACCTCGGTATTTGTTCATCCCCTCTCGACGCCAGGAGATAAAGTTCGCGATGAACAATGCCGAAGTCACTGGTGACTGGACTGATCCGTTGGCTTATGACGAGCTCTTCTATTTCGATGGCAGAAGTAAGTTGACGTCCGAAGTCACTGCCTATTATTTGGAGTCCATTTGTATGCCATACTAACTCTGTACAGTCTGATCTCCGTGACTCCTGGGCCTCTCCACGGAGTACTCCGTACGGACTGCCGGAAGTCTCGGCGGCCCACAAAGTACCGAGGTCCGCCAATGATCCCAAACACAGGTGCCTTTCCTTGGAGTGTTGTGTGAATATTGTTTGCTCCCAGAATTTGGGGATTTTGGACGAAGTATCCCATCTGGGAATGTTCCCCGACGCAGACTTGATCAACTTTTTCGTAGAGTTGGGGTGCCTGATCGAAAACCCGCCTCAACAGATTGCACGATGGAATCTCAACAGATGCGGGGATATCTACGAGACGAGGAGAAGACCCAAGATGTAGGTTGTTATCGTGATTGTTGACCCACAGGTCGTTGGATGTTTGCGGGAACAATTATGACGCAGCTTTCTTATTTGAATGCTGTTTGCGCTTCATGGCTTAGGAGCCCAAGCATCGTATATGCAGCAATTCAAACTCAATTGCAAAGCATCAAGAGAGTGTCCAACTACAACGGGAAAAATGGCCGTTGCGTGGAGTAGTCTTGCACCTTATGGGCACGTAGTTCACTCGCTCTTTACCTTCAAGGCATTGTTGATTGGGCTAGCATTAGCCAATGTCAAGAGCTGGCATTTCATGTGGACGGTAAGTCAACGAGAGTCAACGTAAACTGTAGATGATGTCTTTAACTCTAGATACAGATCCGGTTTCTACGCGCATTCATTCGACGCCTTACCGACACCGCGCCCCCGAAGCACCTGAGCCCACGATGTCTTTTCCTGCCCGCGATCTCCGCCACCCGCTCGCCGATGCTAGAGTGTGACTACAACATGCACAAGTCCAACTCGACCTACTTCACCGATCTCGACATGTCGCGGGGCAATATTAGTCTTGTCCTTTTTCGCAAACCCTTCAACCCGTTCCCTGGACCTAAGCATTTCATTATGATCCTCGGGGGCGCAAATTGCGTCTGGCGCAAGGAGATCGCACCTTACGAGGCATACGAGTTGTGGACGAGGGTGTTGACATGGGACGAGAAGTGGATTTACCTGGTCTCCCATTTCGTCAAGGCTGGCAAGTTCGTACCCAGCGAGTACGCGATGCAGCCTAGCCCGACGGCGAAGAAGGGCAGAAATCGAGGGAATACTGAGAATGACCCTCAAGAGGATCCACAAAAGGCCGTGTTTGCGTCTTCGATTGCGAGGTATGTTTTCAAGAACGGAAGGAAGACTGTGCCTCCTGAAAAGGCTTTGTTGGAGTGCGGGTTGCTGCCTGGCGATGAAGTTGAACTGGCTGAGGTTGAGAGGTTGCGACTGAAATGGCTTCCTGTCGCGCAACTCAAGTCGGGCTGGGATGCCGTTCACGAGTTGTTCGAGCCGGGGGAGCTTGCTCTCGGCCGGTACACTGACCTATGGTGGCGGTAGGGTCTTCCTTGCGACTGCGATGAAGACACGGCTCACAAAGAGCAATTACGAGTTTAAGGTTCCCTACTAGACTTGGATGGCTTGTTGCAGGTTAATAAAAAGACATATTGATGTACATGTTCCCGTGGTATGCAGAAACTTTGATATCAATTGACAGCATAAGTATTCTTCATGGTTGGCGGAACGACCAAGTGTCACTGCTATTGTTTTGTCTCCGAAGTTTACGCTGCCGCACTTCGCAGCATGGTCCGCCTTGCATCGACGGCGGAGCTGTCTTGCTGTGTGCTGATGGGGGTAAAAAGTAATCCTCTGCTTGCAATTGGAGAATTGAGATAAACGCCGGCGGTGAAAATCCAAGACATCGTGTCCCGCATCCCACATTCCCTAGGGCTGGGCGAGCTGGGTACGTGTCAGTCACCCTGTGTCGGGCCTATTCCCTGATCTGCAGTCTTAAACTCTAGAAGTTTAGGGCGCTCAGCTGGCGTTATGTTGCGTCATTATGTCTATGTTCCCCGCAAAGTGCAAACGAGAACGAGCCGTCGAATGTACCAAAGCAAGGCATTGTAGCTGGAGTCACGGATGACATATGCGTTGGGCAGACTGCTGACAATGGCGCGGGCAAGCATAGGAACGTTAAGTTGGTGGTTAAAGCTAACCACAAACCACGGAAACTCGCGATGGCCGACAGCCAAAACAAACTGCCGGCGAACCGTGGGATCCGTGGTGCGGCGACGGAGCGGGAGGCGTGCCATCTCGGTCTGGCCGACGGAACGGGATGGAGCAATTTGGCTGCCGGCACTTTACACGAACTGCGCCCGCGCGGAACGGGTTAGGGGCGGTATTCAACGCTGCGTGTGCCGTGTGTGCCTGTCAAGGAGCATGCGCTAGGGGATCTGATCTCGGGAATGGCACCCCTGGATGGAGGGGCCATGTACTCATCCCTATTCCAGGGCTCTAGGCAAACGGTTGGGTCTGGCACTGCTGCGTTGTAACTTGTTGGGGGCCTTGTTTTATCTGAGTGGTTTCTGGGCAGATTCTTCAAAGAGAAATGGGCTCATGAATCGGTGGCCTCGGCACAAGAGACTGCTCTGCGCGTTTTCTAATCAGTCTAATCAGCATTGGATCGTGATAGGGCCAAGAACGGGGGCTCAAATCCGATCCTGCAGTGCTGACCGACGACCCCTGACTCACCGCCCACAGGCCGCATGTTAAGCGTCTTACGGCGTACATGGCTCTCTGCCTTAGTGTTGTCGTACCGTCTATTATGCGTACGGGCGCAAGTAGATTATCTTCTGCTGAATTTCCATAGGTCGTCCGCCCAAGACCGTCGTCGGAGACTCGAGTGAGACGGAGTAGGAGGATCGGCTGGTCGGACGGTCGGATGGTGGAAGGGAACATGATCAATGGCAAAACACGTTGAACCAAACAAACTCGACACTGAAAGTCTGACAGACAGCACTGGAGTTTCTGAAGTCGGCAGCGGATTTGGGATGGCGCCGAATGCCTTGTTTCACTGCAGACGGGGACGGGCGGGATGACCGAATTAGGCGACGAGCTGGCGCGATTCCGTTCGTCTCGACCACTGACGTCGCCGGGATTAGCCCACCTGTCTGTCTTGTCGCCGTGGAAAAGTGGGAATTTGGAAATCTTTTTTCGGGCATGATATCAGCGTTCATCCTGGCGCTCCACGCATGATGATGGGACCGAGGCATAACGCCAACACCGCGACGAGGGAGATTAGCCACGTCCGTTTATGGGGCCAAGCCTTCTGCAATTGTGAATATTATCAGCCTCGAATCCCTTCTTTTTAAGACCGGCTTCGTTCTCTTCTGATCCAAGCTAAAGTGCACTGGGAGATCCGAGTCTGTACATCCAACACGCCGACACATCACTCAACACTACCACCACCACCAAACACATCACACAAGAAACATGTCAGAAACAGTATCGATCCCTGAGCCCTATGGGCTGCCGCTTCTCGGCAATATTAACGACATCGACCCTGAATTCCCTCTCGGGTCCATGACCTCGCTGGCTGACCAGTACGGTAAGCTTACACCTCTGGCTGCGGCCCCTATCTTATCGATGACAAGCATCTGACACCTGTGCGCCAAGGCGAGATCTACCGCCTGCATTTCCCTGGACGGTCTCTGGTGTTCGTCTCAACGCAAGCTCTGGTCAACGAGACCTGTGATGAGAAGAGATTCAAGAAGTGCGTGAACTCAGCACTGAATGTAAGTCGCCTCGTTCCATAGAGCTTTTGAAAATTGTGAGTTCTAACATCCACCCAGGAAATCAGAGATGGCGTGCACGATGGTCTTTTCACAGTAAGTTCCGGCGGGGTTCATGAGGATTAGGCACTGGAAAATGAGCAGCTCTTAACCGCGAGAACAGGCGAAGATGGGCGAGGAGAACTGGGGGATTGCGCACCGCGTCCTCATGCCTGCATTCGGTCCCCTCTCTATTCGCAACATGTTCGACGAGATGCACGATATCGCCACACAACTGACGCTGAAATGGGCGCGATATGGCCCTGATGAACCGATCATGGTTACCGACGACTTCACGCGACTCACCCTCGATACTCTCGCGTTATGCTCTATGGGATACCGTTTCAACAGCTATTACTCACCAACCCTGCACCCTTTTATCGAGGCCATGGGCGATTTCCTGACTGAGGCTGGTAACAAGCCCCGCCGGCCGCCTCTGCCCGGCGTCTTCTTCCGCGCGAAGGACCAGAAGTTCAAGGACGACATTGAGATTCTCAGAAACACCGCCAAGGGAGTTTTGGAATCAAGAAAGGCCGAGGGCGAGAAGAGCACCCGCCGCGATTTGCTCACTGCCATGTTGGAGGGTGTTGACACGAAGACCGGAAAGAAGATGACTGACGAGAGCATCATGGACAACCTGATTACCTTCTTGATCGCAGGACATGAGACCACATCAGGTCTACTTTCATTCGCCTTCTATCAACTACTGAAGCACCCCGAGTGCTACCAGAAGGCCCAGCAGGAAGTCGACAGCGTCGTCGGCAAGGGACAGATTCACGTCGACCACCTCTCCAAGCTCCCGTACATCAACGGCGTCCTTCGCGAAACCCTCCGTGTGAACGCCACCATCCCCGTGTTTAGTGTTGAGGCTTTCGAGGACACTCTGCTTGCAGGCAAGTATCCCGTGAAGGCAGGCGAGGTCATTATCAACCTGCTGGCCAAGTCTCACCTGGACCCCCTCGTCTATGGCGACGACGCCACCGAGTTCAAGCCAGAGCGCATGTTCGACGAGAACTTCAACCGCCTCCAGAAGGAATTTCCCAACTCGTGGAAGCCTTTCGGCAACGGCATGAGAGCCTGTATCGGCCGCCCCTTCGCCTGGCAGGAGGCCCTCCTAGTCATGGTCATGCTCCTCCAGAACTTCAACTTCGTTCTGGACCCCAACTACAGCTTCGGCGTCAAGCAGACTCTCACCATCAAGCCCAAGGACATGCATATGCGCGCCATTCTGCGCGACAATCTCACGCCGACGACCCTCGAGCGCCGCCTGGCCGGTCTCGCCGAGCCCGAGAAGGCGACCAACGGTAACAGCGCGAACGGAGCCGCCGCCGCCGCTCAAGAGGGCGGCAAGCCGATGACCATTCTCTACGGTTCCAACAGCGGAACTTGCGAGGCTTTGGCTCAGCGTGTCGCCTCTGATGCTTCGTCCCATGGCTTCCGTGCCACCAAGATCGACTGCATGGACAGCGCCAACGGCAGCCTGCCAACCGACCAGCCCGTCATCATCATCACAGCTTCATACGAGGGCCAGCCCCCTGACAATGCGGGTCACTTTGTTGCCTGGATTGAGGGCCAGGACAAGGAGAAGTCACCCCTCAAGGGCGTCAACTACGCTGTCTTCGGATGCGGTCACAAGGACTGGGTGCAGACCTTCCACCGCATCCCGAAGTTGGTTGACACCACTCTCGAGCAGCTCGGCGCGAGCCGTCTGGCCGAGGCTGGTCTTACGGATGCCTCGACTGGCGAGGTCTTCACCAACTTCGAGACCTGGGAAGATGATGTGCTCTGGCCTGCCCTGACCAGCAAGTACAACACCACTTCCGCCGACGACAGCAAGACTAAGGGTGTCGATGTTACCATCAGCAACCCTCGCACCTCAACCCTCCGCCAGGACGTCAAGGAGGCCTCCGTGGTTAAGACCGAGACCCTCACCAAGGGCGGAGACCCCAGGAGTATCAAGAAGCACATCGAGATCAAGCTGCCTGAGGGCATGACCTATACTGCTGGCGACTACCTGGCTGTCCTGCCGATCAACCCCAAGGAGACCGTCCACCGCGCGATGCGCCGCTTCCACCTTGCCCGCGATGCTCATCTCAGCATCAAGACTGACGGACCTACGTCCCTCCCCGTCGACACCTCCATCCCCGCCGATGACATCCTCAGCCACTACGTGGAGCTTTCGCAGCCCGCAACAAAGAGAGTAAGTAGCACATGCTAAAACAAACTCGCACGAACATAGGTTAACCAATCTTTAGAATCTCCTCGCTCTCGCGGAATACGTCAAGGATGAAGACACCAAGGCCAACTTGACCCGTTTGTCTGGAGATGCCTACGCCGACGAGATCAGCACGAAGCGCGTCTCCGTTCTCGACCTGCTCGAGCGTCACCCCTCCATCGACTTGCCGATCGGCGTGTTCCTCACCATGCTGCCCCCCATGCGCGTCAGACAGTACTCCATCTCCTCTTCGCCCATGGCTTACCCCTCCAACGTCACTCTCACCTTCTCCGTTCTCAACGAGCCGTCCCTCTCCGGCCAAGGTCCGCACATCGGCGTCGCATCCTCCTACCTCGACTCCTTGGCCGAGGGCGACACCCTCCACGTTGCTATCCGCCCGTCCCACGCGGCCTTTAGCCTCCCGTCCGACCCCGAAAGAACGCCCATGATCTGTGTCGCCGCCGGTACCGGCCTCGCGCCCTTCCGCGGCTTCATCCAGGAGCGCGCCACCATGATCGCCGCCGGCAGAACCCTAGCTCCCGCGCTCCTGTTCTTCGGCTGCAGATCCCCCGAGCACGACGATCTCTACCGCGAGCAGTTCGACAAGTGGGAGGCCCTCGGCGCCGTCTCCGTCCGCCGCGCTTTCAGCCGCGACTGCGACAAGAGCGAGGGTTGCAGGCACGTCCAGGACCGCATGTGGAAGGACCGCGAGGAGCTTCTGGACCTTTGGAAGCAGGGTGCCAAGGCCTATGTATGCGGCTCCCGTGGCGTGGCCGAGTCGGCCAAGGAGACCATCATCAAGATCAAGGTCGAGACGGAGAAGGCTAAGGGCGAGGAGGTTGACCCGGAGAACATGAAGGAATGGTTCGAGTCGCTCAGGAACATGCGCTACGTGACGGATGTTTTCGACTAAGCAGACTGCGAGTGTGGGATAGATCAAACTTATAGACGGGGGACTGGAGTTCAAGCGATTTGATAACATGTAATAAATACCCGCAAATAGACAATCACAACTGTTGCTTTTCACTGGAATTTCGTCACATTTTCTCTATGCTATGCATTATCTACAGTGATATTATTTCCTGATCGGGACGCCAGAGGCACCTGGTTGGTTCGGAGCTGCTCACCCTCGTCTTGGCTAACCAACGCCAAGAATGATGGTACCGACGACAGCAAACAATCACTTTTCTACCAGAAGCCTCGAACCTTGTACGGTAGTCGGAGAGACAAGGCGACCTGCCGACTCAATGATATAGTTGCCCGCGCGGTTAAAAGTTCCGAGGAAGGAGGTCAGATTGGCCGTTCTTCAGCTGAGCGGACGATGGGCGTCTTCCCGTTCGGTGATCGCGCTCCACTCGTCCCGTCGGACAACGAACGCGGGCCGGTTGACTTTCACAGGCGAAGTTTAACTGATTCCCTGGATCTCCGGGTAAGACTTGCGGACATAGCGTTGCATGTGGACTGGACAGTCTACAACTACCGGTGGCATCGAACCAAGCTTTCTCTCAAGGGAACCCCTGATCGTTCATCTCTACACCCTCCCATCTCCTCGGTACGATTCTTAGAGAACGCCGATGTAATGGGGATATGACGCATTTTGATGACTGAATGCTTACCTGCTCTTCGGCATCACTTGCGATAAGCCGGTTGTAGCTCAACAGACGTAGGGAAACTTCCTCGTAGCATGGCCTAGGCCTCCAGCACCCAGGCTAGTCATTGTACACACAAGATTCATGGTCGCATACGTCGTATCGAGACCGAGACGAAAGGCCCCAAAAAACATCCGCCAAGCTATGGCCAAGCTTCCCAGCTTCCCCGCACGACTGGACGGAATGCCGAGGCATAATCACCGTCTACCGCAGATGTTGGGACGAATAGTTGCAAATGAGTCTCAGCCAGCGTCTCCTAAGTAACATCTCAAACGTCGAGAAGCCCGTTCAATATGTACAGATAGGAATGGTTGGAGAGATGCGAGGTGGGTGATAGACTTAAGTGAAGGGACGGCGAACTACAGCCCACATAGTCTATACGACTCGTGAACAACCACCAGATATTTATCGGAGAAACTGAAAGACATCGTGGAGTTCCACGTAAAGCCTAGCATATTGATTAGCCTTGCCCGATTAATTTACATTCATCATGATGCCGTGAGGCGTAAGATTTGGCCATGCGTCACTCAACAATGTTCAAGGTGACACCCAGATAGATGGACGTTTTCGGCACCCACTTTCCTCTTACGCTTCGGCGCCGAACCGCCAGTTCTGCCGCACTTTTGTGGCCAAGGACCGGCGGCCGCAATTGAGCGACAAGGGGACTCAGCCTCCAACTCCGGCCGACCCGGGGAAGAAACTCTGTAACGAATGCAAGCAAAACCAATTCGTAGCTGGCCGTAGAACCATCATTCTACCGAAATAGACTCCCTCGGTTTTAAACTTCCCCTCGTTATCTCCTTCTATTTGCTTAGAAATGCCGCGAATCCCTCACGTGTCGTCCCATCTCTGCTGTTAGAACCGAGGGACAGCCGAGTGCATATAGAAGATGCCGGGCTCCCGCCCCCCTACCACAGAAAGCGTACCGCAGTCTCATTCTTGTTTAGCAGTGATTTGACTTGATAACTTAACCAACAGCAAACATGGCAACTACAACCATACAAGTCACGGAGCCCGCCACCCTCCGCTCTAATGGAAATCTCACGGTCCCCAACATCATTGATCAGAGGGCCGCGTATGAGCCTCTGAGAGAAGCGTGCTCCATTCCCCGCACCGCCAATCCTCGCGATGGTTGGAGAATCATCACGTACAAGGAACTGGCCAATTGTGTCAACTATATGGCCCAGGTGATCTTGCAGAATTACGGTGCACCTCCGAAAGACACCTTTCCCACAGTTTGCTACATTGGGCCAAATGACATTAGATACGGGGTAAGCAAAGATACTTGAAATACGAACACAATCTTGAGCTGTTTCAAAACTGACCATCGCGTAGATTATGATTGTTGCCGCCATCAAGGCTGGCTATAAGGTTTTGTTTCGTTTCTGCGGCACGCCCGTCCATGTTGACTAACAATTTTTCAAGTCCCTCTTCGTGTCCCCAAGAAACCCGCTTGAGGCACAATTGAATCTCTTCAATCTTTCCAACTGCCAGATTGTGGCACGCCCAAAGTCTCATACTGCCGTGGTCGATTTATGGTTGAAGAACCGACCAATGGATGTTCTCGAAGTCGAGGACCTGGAATCCATCTTAGCACAGCCAGAGGTTCCCTCCATCCCCTACACGAAGACCCAGGCCGAGGCCGAGTGGGATCCCTTTGTCGTTCTTCACACCAGCGGTAGTACAGGACTTCCGAAGCCAATCGTTGTCAAGCATGGATCTGTCGCCATGACCGACACTCTTCGCCAATTGCCCTCCTGGAATGGCACTGTGCCCACTGGGCAGGCTATGGATGCCAGAACCAAACGGCATTTCAGTCCCAGTAGGTGTTGTCCTCACGCCACAGAAAGACCTCCTCTGACGCGATCGACAGTGCCTTTGTTTCACGCTGGTGGCGTTTATGGTTTTCTTGGCACCATGGTTTTGGGAGGAAAGCCTCTTGCACTTCCTTACGCTGACCGTCCTTTGACTCCTGAACTTTGCATCGATTGCATTAAATACTCGAAGGCGGACAGTGCTGGACTTCCTCCCTCAGTCTTGGAGGAAATTTCTCACCGCCCCGAGCAGATCGCAGAGTTGAAGAACCTTGCATTTGTCGGGTTTGGAGGCGGTAGGTGCAGCTGATGTGGAAATGGTATGGTGACTGACAGCCTTGAAGGTCCTTTGAGTCAGGAGGCCGGCGACACGTTGGTCAGAAACGGAGTCCATCTGATTAATATCATTGGTGCGACTGAGTAGGTTTCCCATCCTCCTCTTCGGCTTAATAACTAACGTCTTTCAGGACTCTGCCCATGTGCGTGTGGTACCAAAAGAACCCGGAGCTTTGGCAGTATTTCATTTACAATGATGAGTACTCTGGACTCGAATGGCGCAGGGCAACAGGTGAAGACAACGTCTACGAGATGGTCATTACTCGCAAGTCGAAGCAAGTGCCAATTCAAGGAATCTTCTACACTTTCCCGGACAAGGAAGAGTACAACACCAGCGATTTGTACAAGCCTCATCCGACGCTGCCGAACCATTGGAAGTTCTACGGCAGAGCGGACAACATTCTCAACCTGTCCAATGGAGAGAAGTTGAATCCTACCGATATGGAAGACATCATCATGGGCCACGCTGAAGTCCGGAACGCGCTCATCGTTGGGGCCTGGAAGTTCCAGCCTGCACTCATTGTCGAGCCGATGACATATCCGAAGACCAAGGAGCAAGAAGACGACTTGATTGACCGCTTGATGCCGACAATCGCCGAGGCAAACAAAATCATTGGTAGGGAGCCAAGTCCTCAGCTATTTTCATCCTTGACGTTGTACTGATATCCCTACTAGCTACACACGGGCGGCTTGTCAGACATTTGATCATGTTGGCCAAGCCCGAGAAGCCGTTCCTCCTAGCTGACAAAGGAACTGTGAAGAGAGCCGCCACGGTCAAACTGTATCACGACGAGATCGAGGACCTTTATGCCAACCCCAGGGAGATTCCCCTCGACAGAGTTCCACGTCTTGATCTCACCTCTGAGGCTGCGCTTGCCCAGTCGATTGAGAAGCTCTTCCGTGAGCATCTTGGAGTGCCTCGCATGGAACCCAACACCGATTTCTTTGCCGCTGGCATGGACTCTCTTCAGATAATTACTGCTGCTCGACTTGTCACCGCAAGCCTTCGTGTCACGGACAAGTCTTACAGCGGAGCTAATATCGAAGCGCGCGACATGTATGCTCACGCAAGCCCTATTCAGCTTGCCGGCCACATCCTCCAGAACGTTGTTCGTGGCCAGGCAAATGGAGAGGCCAGCTCCGATGGTCCCAGCGTTGAACCCATGAAGGAGCTCTACAATCGCCTTTCACAGAACTTGATCCATGCCAAGTCTGGTAGACCGGAGGCTCGGAAGAGTAACCAGACTGTCATCTTGACCGGATCTACGGGTAACATGGGCTCGTATCTTCTCGACGAGCTGGTCCGGAACCCTCAAGTCAGCAAGGTCATCTGTTTCAACAGATCTCCCGATGGAGGTGCTGGCAAGCAGGAGAAGGCCATGGAGGAGCGCGGATTAGTGTCTCCCAGCAAGAGCGGCAAAGTCGAATTCTTCCACATCAACCTGGCACAGCCAAACATGGGTTTGCGCGAGGAGGTCTATGGACGTCTTTTGAAGGAGGTTGACCGTGTGGTTCACAACGCCTGGGCCGTGAACTTCAACATGCCCTTCGAGGCATTTGAGCCTCACGTCAAAGGCGTGCGTAACTTGGCCGACTTCGCTGCGAAAGCAGACAGACGTGTTGTCATGGTGTTTGTCTCTACCATCGGCACTGTGAGTGGCTGGACTCCGGATCGTGGTCCGGTTCCAGAGGAATCTCTCCGAGGAGATTGGAAGATTGGCGGTGGTATCGGATACGGCAGGAGCAAGCTCGTGTCCAGCATGATCTTGGAAGACGCCGCAAAGGTCGGAGACTTCCCGTTGTCAGTGGTTCGCGTCGGACAGATCGCTGGACCTCTTGCCGAGCAAGGTGCCTGGAGTCGTCAGGAGTGGCTGCCATCCATCATCGCCAGCAGTCTCCACATCAAGGCACTGCCAAAGAACCTAGCCACCATGAACGAGGTGTCTTGGGTTCCCGTGGAAATCATGTCAAGAATGATCTTGGATGTCGGCGGCCTCACAAAGGAATCGACTGAGTACCACGAGGGATACTTCACTGGTGCCAACCCCTCTCCGACATCATTTGATGAGTTCGTGCCTTCTATTCAGCAGTACTACGGCAAAAGCCGTCTTCCTGACCTTGTGACGTTTCCTGAGTGGGTCAAGCGTCTCGAGGCGAGCAAGACGGCCAGCAGAGATTCAGGCGCCGAGCGCAACCCTGGGTTGAAGTTGCTGGACTTCTACCGCGGGGTATCGCAGGGAGATGAGAAGACGACGAAGGAGTTCATCACAAAGAGGACAGCAGCAGCAAGTCCATCTCTCCGGTCAGTAGGACCTGTCACGCCGGAGTTGATGATCCATTGGTGCAAGCAGTGGAAGTACGAGACTCCTGCTTCAGCTCGTGCTGGTCGTTTGTAATCGGTTGGTTTTCTGCGGGGTGTTGATGATAAATGTAGACTGAGAAACAGATTGAATCGAAGAGACTTTGAATGTTGCCACGTTACACATGTCATTTCCAAATACGACAGCTCTTAGAGTAGGGTGCTTGGGTCTACCCTTTTACGTGACCCCGGCACTTGCGATGGTTTCCCTCTCCTGAATTACATGTGGCTCATGTAATTCGGTTCATCAAGAATTCATGTTCTCCATTGGAGAAAGGTCAGAGGGCCTGGGACCTCTCACTATTTCTCGCCTAGCTGCCTAAGTCCTCCTCGAAAGAGGTCCTCTCAGCCCTTTCTTGGCAGCGATTTTGCGCTTAAGCAGCCAGCCCACCAACTTCGAAGATCGTGCCTCAGTGAGACAGACGTAGGCACGCACCAAGCACAGGTGCCCATAGGATGCAACACTTGGTAGTCAACGAGACTTTCTAGGTTCGACACGAGATTCGTTACAATTGGATACACTCCTTCGAAGACCTACACCAAGCCTGGAGCTGTGTCGAAATGAAGAGCGCATATTCACTTGACGTTGCTCTAAGCTTCCCCGCCTCTTTGCCAGAACATGCGTCGAGTGGCAATGTCCAATGATAGTAGAGTGGCTAATCAGCCGATCACGGAGTTGTACATGGGGTTTCTGCAGGCCAGCGACAAAGACTACAGCGATTGGCCTATTTCAAGCCACAACGCAATATGAAGCATGTTGTCTTGCCTGTTTGTTTTCAGCTCTCCCTTAGAATGACAACGCTCGGCGCAATTGATGCCCGGGTCAACCAATCCTCATGGGTTATTTCGCGATCTGACACACTGAGCCTCTGCCAGAAATCAAACAAAGCTTAAGCGAAGTGGCGACGGGAAGTTGCGCCCTTGGTGAATTGAGGCTCTTCGCATCAGATGCCAGCGGTAAATGAAAGACAGCACGCACTTTTTGGTATCAGTCTTCCTGCTTGATTTCATTTGCGTTTCTCTCTCATAGCATTCGCGACTAACACCAAGATCACAAGAGAAAAGAGAGTTCGACGTTGAAGATGAAAAGAACTAATCCTTTTTGGATACTTCCCATCTTTTCGCGAGCTTTTGCTTCCGACCCTTCGCTGCCCAATAGCAAAGATACCAGAGGACTCCTTTCGGAAAGACAAACCGACTCATCTGTGAACATCCATCCCAGCCTCGACCCCGTCTTCATTGAGAAAAATTCTAGCGGTCAACTCGACGCTCGCTCTCTTTTTGGCCTCTTTGGTCGGCAAACATGCGAGAACAACTGCGGCAATGGTTGCTGCAAATCGTCTGAGAAATGCGTACGGTTTTGTTTGATTGACTTCTAACCCCCCATCCGTGGAGTGCTTCCTGATGACCTTTTGACAGTGCCCCAGCAGCTGTTGCCCTGACCTACCAGGTCCTTGCTGTGATACAGGCGGATGCTGCCCTTAATATGCCTTCTGCTTTCCCTCGACGGACAAGTGCTGCTCCAAGACGTCAGAGACCTGTGGCGGAAAACTGTGTTTGGTAACGGGGTCTGTATGTTGCGGCAGTGGTACCTGGGGTTGTAAGTCCGGAGAGTCTTGCTGTTCGGACGGGTGCTGTGAGACGGGATGGTCTTGCTGTAATAACGAGCGTTGCTGTAGCGCAGGCACTAAGTGCTGCCCTGGAGCCTGTAAGAGTTGCTTTTGAGACACGCGAGATGTGCATTTTTGACTGACGGCTTCTCAGGTTGCCCATCGGGAACTGAATGTGGCAATGTCTACGGAGAATGTCAGGTGCGGAGGACATCACAACGAACATCTACTCAGACATCCTCCTCAAGCTCGAGCTCCTCAACAGCTCCACCAAGTCTCACAACACCAAAGATCCAAACGCCAAAGGTACCGACAATAACTGCCGCTGGAAGTGCGACTAGCTCTGAATGCAAACATGTATCGGCGACGGGCATTCCACAGCCTACTTCATCGAATCTACCAGTCATGGAATTCGTCTATATCAGCCCCATAGTGGCACCTGACGTAGGTTCCTGCCCTTTTGACTCTCAAACATCGCTTACAGTATGCTTTAGATTCCGATCAATATCTGTCTTGGTTTGTCTCTGAGGATCTGGTGCAAATTTCACACATGGCTGACAAGACCTACAGGCATTCGACACAAACTTGGACGCTCAGCGCAAGAGATAGTTCTTACTTACGCTGGTGACGGCCAACGCTGTCCACGCCAACGAGGCCGCGGATCAGGCTGCCGAGGATGCTGCAAAGGCGTGACCAAGTCATCTGGCGCCGAAGCTGGCAGACGGACTGAATGCGACGAGTTCCCCTTCAAGTCGACTGTAGAAGGTGGTGATGGTGCCTGGATCCGCTGTGTGACTGGCTGGGAGAATCAGCTACAAGGATACTACCTCAACTCGTGATACAGAGATCACAACATCAAGCCAGAAGACCAGTTCATTGTGCGGGTGTCGAATCTCGACTGCTCAACTGTGCAGCCGGCGGATCTTCAGTCCTGTCAAAACGGAGGTGCCAGCACCTTACAGACCAGAGCAGAATCGCTGGTATCAGGATCTGAAACTGCTGTTCGACGAACGTTGGACAACAAAACCACCATCGTCATTGCCCCCTTCGGTGATCTGGATGGCATGGGCTATGAAGCAAAAGCACGCATGTCGACAGGGCGTCTCACCCAAGCTCGTGTGATCGACAGCGACGGGGATGAAATTTCAGCAATGGGCGAGGATAATCTGAACTCACTCTACAGCGACGATGGCCTGTCAATTAAGTGGGCTTTCGACGACTATGTTGGCGGAGTAGGGCTCATTGGTGAAACTCAATCAACAAGTGTCAATTTGACTTGGGATCTTCAATCTGACGAGTCCGGGTCGAGCTCCGACTCCGAGTCTGTCGCTAGCAGATTATCCTTCTCTCTCGTGTCAAAATTGTACATAACCGCGTGGTTCGGTCTGTTGATGCTGTTTTATCTCGCGTACTAAAGAACTAAGATGCTCTGACGTGGGAATTCTCACGAGAGCAAGGGGCTGAGATAAATAAGGTATGAACGTTGGGTCAATAACTTTCTATATACATTCGTCATCAATCATCCCGCCTGTACCATTACTAGCACTCTCCTCGTGAGTTTCTTCATTACATCAATCCGTGCTGTTCAACCAAGAATCGCTTACCAGCCATGACAGTCTTGATCACCGCATTAGACGCTGATCCACCTGGCCATCCAAGTACGAGTAATCTCTTTGGCCTCATCAACAAGTCCAAGGTCAAGCAGCATCTGGACAGTGCCACGAGTAGAGCTCTCAAGAGCACTGAAGACCCACGAGTGGGTGAAGCTCGTGGCCTCACCGATGAAGACCGTGTTGAACTCGGTCTGCCAGAAAGCAGGCAGGTAGAGCTGTTGCTGAGGAACAATAGGTACAGCAAAAGCACCAGCGTGGTGCTCATCCTGCTCCCAGCAGTGACGCTCGTAGTTGCCGGTCCACATCTCGTCTGCAATCGGGCCGTGGATCTCAACCATGGCCTGCTGAATGTATGCAATATGCTCCTCAGCAGGCATTGAGCAGGCAACAACAGCATCGGCATCAGGTGCATAAGAAGTGAGCATAACTCCAGGGCCGGTGGCATTAATGTTATAAGAGGGGTAGCAAATTTGGCCAATACCGTAGATGTCAGTACGTCCACAGCCACCGATGATGGGGTGCTCGAGGTGCTCCCAGAAGCGGGTCTTGTACTGCATCGCAACCTTTACAGCACCCAAGAAGACGGTGCGCTCGATGGCGCGGCGCATCAGACTGGAGTGAGGCGGCAGCTTCCAGTACTTGAGAACATTCAGAGGAACGCTATTGAAAACGTAGTCGAAGGTCTCGGTGGTGGTGTTCTTCAACCAGGGGTTGCTGCCCGTCTGGCGCCAGGTCACGTCTAGGTTGTTCTCTTCCTCGTTGTACTGAACGCTGAAGACCTTGGTCTTGTAGGCAATACGGTCCTTGACGATATTCTCAAATGCAGCGGGAAGACGGCTGATGCCACCATCAACAGTACGCCACTCATTGGCCATGAAGTAGACCGTCTCAAACTCCCACATCGGCCAGACAACGTTGGAAGGGGTAGCCTCATCGGTGACATTGAGGTCCGTCTTCATCACATATCTCAAATATTCAACCTCGCTGAAGTCGAACATACCCTGCTCAACGGCTTGCTTGTGGGCCTGGAAGACATTGGTGGCGTAGAACTTCGCCTTCTCAGGAGTCAAGTCCTTGAAATCATCCAGCGCTGCAATCGCTTCCTTGACGGCAGTCGCGTTGGAGTAGGTGGTGTTGCTCTGAAGCGAGGGATCCGCAGCAATTTCCTTGCGACCTGGAACCGTGCCATCGGGACGACGCTGCTTTGTCGCAACTGGCGCATTGTCCGAAACCTGAAGCCACGGGATGAAATTGATTTGCAGGGCAGGATCGGCGTCCTTGTTGATCTCGTTGAGGACATCAGCAAGCTGATAAATCATCTTCTGGTCGTTGATGGGGTATGTCTCGTTGGTTTCGGGATCATGGATCGAATGGGGGAACCGCATAGGACCCAGTTCATGATGTTGACCCTCATCCCAAGAGGTGCCGTTCAAGTAAGTGGTGCGAATGCGACCACCAATTCTGTCGGACGACTCCAGGATCTTCCAATTATGGATGCCAACCGAGTCAAGCAGCAACTAAAACCTTTGTCAGCGAGACTTCCCCAATTCAGAGTCCGAAAAGCACTTACACCAGTGTAGAGACCGGAAATACCAGCACCCAAGATGCCAAACGTCTTATTCTTGACAGACGCAACAAAAACCTCATCGGGCTGCTTTTGCTTGAGGTACTCAACGCCGTCAAACCAGGGACCCATAGGGTCGGTGGAGTCAGCGAACGTGGCGCGTTTCCTCATCTTTCGGCTTTTGACGACGTGCTCCGTAGAACGGCCGACGAGCTGGTTGTCGACAAAGGCATGCAAACATCCCGAGGTCACATCTTCAGGCACCATCCAAACGAACTTGGTAGGCCGCTGGTCAGTCCACTCAAGATGACGCTTGGCCGCCGGGTGAGATCCAATGTGGGTCCGGCCGATCTTGTGGTGTGCATCCTGGGGAGACTTCAAGTCGCAGCCGCCGTAGACAATGGAAAGCTCGCCATCGAGAGATCCGCTGTACTCGATATTGATGTTGCGAATGCCATTGCTCTCGACTTCAAATGGCCCCTTGAAGGAGATGGTGTCCCGGAAGACAGGCTCTGCAACTGCTGATTGGCAGAGAGTTGCTGCAGCAGTAAGGAGGGTAGACCACCGAGCCGCCATGTTGTCTTGTTGATTGGCAAGAAGACGAGAACAAGTGAAGAGCTGATCAGAACAAAGACCCAAGGGTAGCGGGCAAGTCTGTCCGCTCTTATTCAAATGCCCCGACTACGGCTCTCCGACGTTCATGAGGCTCAACCGAGTGAAGTGCCATCAAGCACCTTGATGGTTATTACAAAGGCTTAGCAGACCATTTGAAAACTGCCTATCATCTATTTAGATTAAGACCGGTCCCGTTACCGAAGGTCTCTCGGCGTGGAGGCTGGGTTTGGTCGATTTCTCGTGTCATGCTCAGAGGCTCGGTTACCGACTATCAGGGCCCGGCTCCGCTGTCACTGCAACAACGTGGGATGAACGCACGAGGGTGGCGCAGCCGAGCAAACAAGATCGCGGGAAAAGTAATCGCGCGTATGTCATTGTCCTGGGTTTTAGAGTTCTTGTTCACTCTCGTTACCCAAAATCTCATATCGTTGGTGTCTTGGCAAGAGGGTACTTGACCAGGGGTTCACCGGGCCGGTCTTTTACAGACACCCGGCATCGGGACCGCGGGGAACCCGGCTTTGAAATAAAGAAGCGAGCGTCGGCTTTCAACTTCTTATCAACATATCAGCGGTAATTCTGATATTAAAATATTCTCTCGGCCTGCATTAGAATGGTCTTAGACTTGCTTGACGAGAGATGGCACAATCGGTTGTAGGAAGAAAAAGGAAGCTGGTTCATTGAGAACAGCGGTCGCTTCAGGGGCGTTAGGTAATAAGTTGCAGAAGAAATCCAGGAAACGGGGGTCTCAAAGTGGATATCTGGAGGCATTGAGCCCCATCAGGCAACTCAAAAAACAACAGTACCCAGTTAGACGGCAACGTGGTCGATGCCTCTGGGGCAAATCAGCATCCACTTGAAAATCTCACTGTGCTCAGAAAAGGAATTCCATGATGTTAGGCAATCTGAGGTTGATGATCTCCGAGCCTCGGATGAGCCTCAGTGCTGTCTGCGTTCCCCGAGCACCGAGGATAAGAGCGGTGAAAGCGTGGTGGATCGTGGTGAAAGTTTTGTCGTGTTAACGAGTAAACGCCAAGAGACAAAGCTTGGCATGACAAACCTGGATCTCTTGGCTAGCGATAAGTTATCTGATCATTGGAAAATTGCCGGTCGAAAATCCGGCACGGAAAATTCTTGCATCTGTTTACTTGGCACGGAGATACGTTGCCGATCTCCATGTTGTTGGGTTGAACTTGAAGCTTGGCTCCGGACTCTTCCACAACCGCGGCTAGCTGGTTACGGCCACAAACGCTGGAGTAATCCAGCCTTAATTGTTGTCTACCTACCTTACGTGACAAAAGAAACTGTCATTCTGGTTAAGAAAATGAGGGTTTATCCAAATATACATAGTTTTACGTCAATGTTCGTCGCCTAATAAATGCCCAAACGTTAACATGACTAGAAGCGACATTTGGCTCTTGAAGTCCAAGGTACGCTTCGAAAGCGTCGCGAATTGAATCATTTGTACTTTAAGCGGCAAAGATCATTCCGCTATTTATTCCACAGAGCCGTCTACTCTTTGAATCGGCAACAGAAATAGCGGTCGTCAATTGAGTATCTTCAGCGGGTAGCAACTGCTCGGATTCTCAATTGTCTTTGACTACAATCTTCTCAGCAAGCTCTCGATTGTTTGATCTCAAGGCTTGACACATAATTCGACCAACAGAAACGCGTGTTCTTCTAATCTTATTATTCTTTTTCCCTTATGCACTTTGGCATACTGTGTCGACTAACGGAACCTTTTGTGGAAACATCACCATGAACACCCAGCAGAGCACGGATCGAGAAAAGAAGCCTTCTAGAAGGGCTGCCCAGGATACATGTCTACGTCATGTTCAACGCTCAGACCTCCATACTCTTTGAATACCTACGCCTTTCTGAGGGACGAGCGTGGAGATAGCCTTCCTCCCTTGCGCAGACGACGATCTGATGTATACTTTGTGCTGATGAAAATGAGTCTTTAGTATGAATCATACACACTTCTCGATACCCTTAGAGGGTGGTCCCTAGCTTCTGACTAGAAAGTCGCTCAAGCCGTGCTCCAAAGTGAAAGACCGAAGCCAAGGAACTATCCCGCCTCACTCATGATATAATCTTGGTGACGACACATCAAAGCTAGCCAGCGTTGCCGGAAATTATCTCATGATGGTGTTGAGACGTCATAAGAATGCCTCTCAGAAAGGTACCGTAGGATTGGGTATGACGTCGATACGGAAATTATTTGGGAAGCTTGAGGTGGAAGCCAGCTTTGGCAAACACTGTCATCTGGCGAGAACTTATGGCTGATGATCTGATCCCAAACTCAAGCTGTGTCTCTATCATTCGTTACCGACTGGCACTTACTATGAAATCCAGATTCTGCATGAAATTGCCCGAGAAAAAAATCACCCGTCCAAAAGTGCTTGTCAAGACACGTTCATCCCAGACCGCCGCCTGCGATTATGCGACGCCTCCTGAATTATGCCAGCGACAACTAGCTCAGATGCGATGCGTCAGTATGCATAATCTTCTAGTGCTCCTCAATTTGATCAAGCTCAAGACTCCTAGGTTGACTAACATGGATACATGTGGCCGAGTCGCCCGCAGACGGAGCACGAGCTGCTCGGTCTAGCGCATCTTAGTTCTCATGATCCCAACTATCGTGACCCTCCTAGATGGAAATGACTTATCGTCACATTCTATTCTTGGATGCCATCCTTCAATACGACGTCCCCCATCTCCAATGTTAAGTGGGATCTCTCATCTGGGACTACGGCCGCGGGGCGGTCTGATTTGAGTGGCTCCACGGCAAGCGCGGCACATCGCGGGCGGGCGGACAATCATACACGCGAATCATAATACCCCCGCGAAAACAACGAGTCTTACCTATTCAACGGATGGACCACACGATCGTCTGCCTGCCATCCAGTCGGGCCTTATCCACTCTGCCCCACTCTGTTATTGCACACATGGGATGTTATGATGAGCCTAAATGCTGACCACCGGCGCCCTTTTGCACGCCGAATCCACGAACATCCATGGCTTCGACGCGGCTCTCGAACATCCCGTGAAGAGGAATATGCAGGTCCGCAACCAAAAGACTAGCCGACAGCTTTTGCCCCGAAGTTAACTCAACTGTCAAGAAAAGTCGGATGCTAGTGCCGATATGACGAGAGTAACGAGAGGGCCCGAAGATCCCTCTTCCAGGAACAGGAAGCTTACTTATTTCCTAATTCGTCTGAAGAGACCAAACCGTTTCATTCCCTAACTTTAACAACGACCGCCCACGCGCTTTGACGAGCGTTGGTGGTGTGTGGCCCGTGTCATCTGGACCACTGTTTCGTTTCACGTTCCATGAATCGTCAAGTGCTCCCGGTATTCTGGTGATGAAGAGACGGGGTAAATGCACTAGAGCAAACGCCAAATTATGGTTGTCATCCAGTCTCAGATAATCAGGCTGATGAACTTAGAGCTGGTTGGAAGGTCGGTATTCGAAACAGATCCCAACTATGGCTAGACGACGCAGGTCATACGCGCATTTGGCTGAAGAGGAGAACAAGACCAGAAGGAAAGGGCTAAGTGGTACTGTATCACCGTTTGTAGACGAATCCTTTGTACCAAGGTGAGCGCAAGGTGAGAGCGAGATGAGTACAATTGATGGCTCACTGAAAAGACGTGCCGCAATCAGAAAAGAAACAAAAAATCACTATCACGATGAAAAGTAGGCGATAATTGAGTCAGCACCAAGATGTATTGCCAAACGAGTGATTAAGAAAGTCCATACTCCAGCTAGAGCAGGCAGTCATATCTCATTATCAGTACCAGTACTGTTACAGATGATCCTCCAAAGAAAGACTACCAATCCCACCAGTTCTCAATCTTGGAATATGTGCATGTGAACCCATTTACTCCTCATCCTCGATCTCAGCCTCGGTGGCGCGCTTCATCATGCGCTTGAAGGCCTGCTCAGTCTCCTGAACGGCGCGGGCGAGGTTGCGGCGAGCCGCGGCGGGGGTGTTGCCAGGCTGGTTCATCTGGACAGGAACGACACCGCCGAAGGGGCCGGCGCGAGCGGCGTTCTGGCAGCGGACCAAGCAGACGTTGTTCTGTCCAGCGACGGTACCAGTGCAAGCCTGGTCAGCGGGGATCTGGGCCCTGAGAGGGAAGTCGGTCATGGCACCATCCTGAGTGGTTGTCAGTGCCGTAGAAATAGATATCAGACAAGTTTACTTACACGGTTGCGGGAGTTCTGGCCCGGAGGAGTGGTGACAACGTTGATATTGGTCCAGCTGGCACCAGTGGCGTCAGAGTTGATCATGCAGTCGTAGGGGCCACCACCGTCACCGTTGACCTGGTGGAGAGTCATGTCGATGGTTCCACCAGCGCGAACCTGGGGAAGCTGGTCACCAGTCATGGCCATGATGGCCTTGGTGCCAGTCTCGAGATCGTTCTGACCAGCGCCAACGGTCTCGCCGAAGGTGTCAGCGGAGGCACCCTTGAAGCGGGTGGAATCGGCCTGGAAGGGATCGCGACGAGTGCCGTCACGGGGAGTGCTGGGGTCGACGCCGAGAGCCATGGCAGATCCGCCAAGCTCACCGGTGGCACCGATGATGGCAGCGTGGCCAGCCACCAACTGGGCGGCGGCGAGGACGGAGGCAGCGACGGCGGCTCTGAGAGACATGTTGACTAAGTTAGATAATAAGAAGCTCCTTGCCAGAGGAGGTTAAGACTATTGAATCCTGCCGGAGGAGGAAGAGAAACCTAAAGAGAGAGAAGAACTGAAGAGACTGCTGAAGAGTGAACTGTTGATGCTGATGAAGGATGAACATCCAGACGGACTGTGGGATTCTCGTCTGCTTTTGTACTCAAGAAACTCTCACGACTTTCAGACGTGCAACCTTTGCATCCCACCATGAGCGCAAGGGGAAAGCAGCATCAGGCGAATCTCCAGCCTCCCGCCTCCCTCCCAGTCCTCGACGATACCAGGGTTGAGATGCACGTCCCACCGTCTATTGGCCTGGTGGTATTCCAGCTGGTAGCGACCCAAGATCAAGCATACTGTTAGGATTGTTCTATGGTAGGCGCCAAAAGTTGAGGCCAAACACGGCGACCACGACCGCATCTCGTGATGGAGACAAGTTCGAAACTGGGCCTTTACCGATTCGGACCGTCGAAGAGGCTCTGTGTGGAAGCGACCGGGGTGCAAAGTTTGTTGAAGAGCCAATCGCATCGCGATCGCGTGCCCCTCCCCAGGTGGTAGGGAGGGGGAGAAACACTGTCGCAGATCAGAAAACGTTTGTCGCACATCGTTGGGCGGGATGATGTTCCAGGATCTGCGCCACGCCCGTACCATTACTCTATCTAGGCCCACGGCGGAAGAGGGAGAGACCCCTTGCCAGATCAAACATCCCTTCCTTTCCCACCTCCCCACCTAGAGAGTCCAAAACCTCACTCCGGTCGAATTTAACCGTGCGGTGCTCCTGCGGGAAAGGCGAGACGAAGGAGGGTATGCCTGTTTCCAGCCAACGTTGCCATGAAGCTGCGCTCGGCCTGCAGCAAAGTTCGTCCATAGTGAGGGTGTAGAGAAACTAGCAGCCAAACAGAAGGCAGATATGGAGAGTCTCACGGTGACGGCTATCATCTCAATGTTCTGGAACAGAAGTCCTTGGGGCCCCCCATTCACATTGACAACGGTTGCACCGAGGGCCATTTCGACAGCGGACGACGGTGGATACGCACTAAGACCAGGAGTTGAGATGTCACGTTGGATACATAGCCATGCCCGTCGTCTAGAGTCCGGGCTCTCTCATGCTACTATGCAGTCTCGTTGCTGCAACGGCGGATGGATTTCCACAACGGGACAGAAGAGAATCGACGGTGAAGATACAAAGTCCCTGCAGGATGCAGCGATGCTATGCATACACAACTCGCGGGAACTAGCGCTTAGTGCCAGGCACGCCAGGGCAAGCTTCAGCGTCCCGTTGCTTGGTATGGCAGCCTCGCGCGGCTCATTGCCTCATTGGTCTGCCGAAGCCACTTGACTCATCCACTGAGAAGTCTCCGGACATTTTAGCTCAGGCGCCATTCCCAATATGTCAACGGAGGGAGGGTTGGGAGGCAAGGGGGGCGACAGTCCAGAATCAGGAAGGGGGATGGAAGACTCCGAGCCGGGAGGCTTTGTGACTTGATCGATGCAGGCATTATCGTTTAGACAGGAGGCGCAGATTGGGACATCGCTGTGCTGATCCTTTGAATCATTGCAGAGCACGACCCATGCGAGATGCATGAGCCGCCGGTCATTTCTGGCGTATGTCGTGATGCACCAGGATGCTGTTTCTCGTTTCTGGTGGATCTGCCAAAGAGGCCCCCCCAGAAGACATCGTGAGGGGGCCAGGAGGCAGGCAGAGCGACTTGGCCGGTGTGGTTTGCAACAATGCTGGGCAGATCTGGGGAATACGGGCAGTTCGCCATTGGGGGAATCATGGGCAGGGTGTGTCGGTTCTCTCAGTCTCCGATGCAGGCATGGCAATTCTAGACACGGCCGACAGGGAAACAAGAGGCAAGTTGGAGGACTTGATACAGGGGTCACCGCTTGGATGAATGGGACACGAAGCAGTCGGAGCGATTCCGTAGAGAGGGATAGCGCTGCAACGCTCATGAGTCGTCTGCTGTGATTCGACAAGTCTGTGCTTCACCGTGGCACACCTGGAACAGGACCACGGCGCCCCCGCTCGCATACTGCTTCTTAGGAAAAGAAGGCCGGGGGGAATTAAGCTTGGGCAATATGGTTACGTTAGAAACATGACGGCAAATTCAGGCTTATTTTGTCTACGGGGCCTGCGGAGTGGGGGGGGCTGGTTCAAGGGTCTGGCTCTTTTCGAACATGAGAAAGACGCCCGTTGGTTCGTGGGCGACTGTGAAGCCGAGTTTCTGTCTCGATATGCGTGCGTGTGTGCGGACTTTCGCAGCGCGAGCGCACATCCATCCAGTCTCTTCTCAGTCCCAGCCGTTGCTTGGCCAAGATGCCGGGACCGTCGGCTACCTTACCAACCGAAAAACTCACTAGCCGGGCTAGCTCTGCTGCATGCTGCACGCTCTCAGACCTCTCTCTCTCTCTCTGCGTGTTTCTTGCCTCCCAGCCACATCGGAGCGTTTGGACCGCAGGCCTTGAGTGACATCGCTCAGCCCCTTCCGATGGCTGCTGGCCATCGTGTCTCCCGACTCGGGGCCGACAACCGGCTGGGCGGATCCACCCGCTCTCGGCCGGGCGCCGGTGGGCCTCCGCCCGGCCCTTTCCCTCCCCTCCCCTTCACATCCCTTGAGGCCATCACCAGGCGACTCTTGCTAGCAGCCTTATCCCTTACCATAATGATTTGCAATCCCGCCGCTTCTATGCCTGCTGTAGATCAATCACCATCTGGGCCACCAATCGCAACCGACAGTGAGCTCAGCCCCTGTGATGTCAGTGGGGTCGATACGAATGATTTACCGGCTGCTCCCACCTCACGCGGGCGGGTGCGCGAGTCGAGTTTCCAGGCCTAAAATGCCCGCTCGTGACCTGACGCGCACTGGCGCCGCAAGCGAGTTTGATCTTCTCCTGCCAAGAGCAACCAAGCCCGCCCTACGAAAGACGCCTCGACCGTGTGGGTGACGGAGGGCTGAGAAGCACGTTTGACAGCCAGGCCAGCCTAACTAGGAAACTTTAGGAGGGGGATGGGCAAGTCTCTGGAAAAAGCTGAGCTTTGCTTCAAGGCCCAACAGGGCTGGGGGGCGACTACACGGCCACACACTCACTGCCACCTCACGCAGTGTTGCATTACGCGCCAAGAGTGTAAGGCCAGGACGAGGCCACCTGAGGCGCGGCAAAACTTGACTTGGACGAGGCGCTGAAGCAGCTTCCGAGCCGGCCGTTCCCAAGGCTCGGAGGACGAAGTACCTTGTATTATTCTTGGCGCGAGAAGAAAGCTTCGCAGTCTTTGGGGCCCTGGGCGAGGCATTTGCCCAAAGTTGTTTAGTTCATGCACTCTGCAAGGGACGAATCAAACTCTCCATGAGCCGCTTGCCTTTTTCATTCAAGGTGGTGGCGGGATGCAGGTCCACAGTTACTATCTTATGAGGCACGTTTCTGACATTTCACTTTGAGATTAACGAGCCTGTCATTGATGAGAGATATCGACGAGTCAACTGGTTGATGGGATAGACTCTACTGGTGTGCCTTCGTCTTATCATCTGAAGCTAGGGATGAGACGCCCTATCTCCTCGACCGATGTTTCCTCCTGTGAAGGAATAGTTCTTTGGCCCCCTCCGTCTTAACTTTCGCTTACGCTGAACTCAGCAGCTCGCTCACCACCGTCGTGATGTCGCCATCGATGCTCGTCGCCAGTCCGGCATCTTCCAGATCCCACGGGACAGCCGTCTCAGGTCCCATGCCCACCCTCACCAGCTTCACCTTCCCCCCGCATCTCATTACCAGATCCTCGTTGGGCCATCTCAATACGCCCGGCGTCGACATCCCGACGCCAAGCTCCAGGATCACTGTCGTCTTGTCCTCACGATGCACAATGTTCCTGCGAAACTGCTTCCATCTCGACTCCCCCTCCTGGAAAGGCTTCTCGTTGAACCAATGCCCGGCTCTCACGCAGATGTTCATCTTTCCGCCGCAGAACTTGCAAAGGGGCACCTTGCTCGGGTCTGTCAAGATTTGAGATACCGGATCCAGCGACGATTGCGCGTCGGCGACGAGTGGTCCAGAGAGCACCGTCGCCTCCGGTCTGCAATTCGCTAGGCATTGGAACACGGAGTACGAGCCCTGCGGCGTTGACAGCTTTTCAGGCGACAAACCATTTGCGACGAAGAGACCGTCGGCGTTCGAAGTCCTGACATGCGCGTTTTCCCCAAACGTGTCCAGCCAGGATATCAGCGTCCCATACATCGGGGATTTTGGCCATGAGCTGACCATGCCAAGATGCGTGAAATAGTAGCCCCATCGTACCTGTTCGGTCGGCCAGCCAGTGAAGCCGAAGACACTGTACAGAGTTCGCAGCCCGTACTTGAGGAAACCGGGAAAGTGCTTGGCAAACAACGCCGTTGAAGTATAATCCAAACCATCGGAAGCAGATAACCCGGCACCAGCGCTCACGATGACAGCATCTACCGTCGTTAACCACTGCCTGGCGCGGTCCAGCGAGTCGCACTGGATCAACGGCGACTGCCGGTGCGGGTGATTCACCCTTGGCGGGGTTGGCGACATCCCGATCCCTGGTGTCTGCGGGGGAGGCGAGGCCAGGATCTCCTGGTATATGGCATGATCTGCATCCGTGAATGTGTTGAAGATGATATCGGTGATGGACGTACTCTCGTGGTGCTCGAGCCAATCTGCAACGGTCCTCACCGCGACAGATGCCGCACCTCGCGCCGGGAACGCGAACAACCCGGTCGAGATCCCGCAGAAGGCGACGATTTTTCTGCCATCCGGCGTCGCGGGCAAAGCTTCCACGGTGTCGAGCACGGAGCGATAGCATTGGGCGAGATGCGCAGTCTGCGTCTCGGTCGGCTTCGAGCCGCGTTGCAGTTGCGGTCCAACCGTGTGCACGACGTGCTCTGCGGGCAAACAGTAGCCCTCAGTAACGATCGCCTCGCCCGGCTCGATTTCTCGGCCCCTTGACTCCATGATTCGGTAACACGCGTCCCGCAGCCGGGGACCTGCAGCCGCGTGAATCACGTTGTCTATGCAGCGGTGAGAAGGTTGGAAGCATCCGAGACCCAGACCGTTGGCGGCATTGGTGATGGCGGTGATGCCGGACAGCGTCGTGATGTCACCTTGCCAGAGTGTGATTCTAACATCTCGGGAGTTGTTTCGTTTGAGTGTTTGTGTCGGCTGAATTGAACCGGCAAGCGTGAGGAGCCTGTGGGACTGCTGTTGCCGAAGAAGCGCGTCTATGTTGCTCAAGATTGTCTCCGGCAAGGGTGGTTCGGGTTGCCGGACGCACAATAGTTGTTGAAGCAGCCGCAGGTGGCTGGACGGCTCCAGATCCTCCAATTGATCTTTGATGTGGCTGTGGTGGTGGTGATGGCAGTTGTTGTGTGTATGGCCCTGCTCTGAGCTTCCTTCTGCTTCGTCGAGTAGGTGTACCAAGACTTGCTGCATGCTTGCCATTGTCGAAACTGCCGCTTTTGGAAATGTCGTGAGGTTATAAACTGTGTGTCTTGTGAATAAGTGTCTTAGAGGTTTTAGCATCGTCCTCTTTTGACTAGCAAGTCACAATATGCCTTGTCTCTCGATACATGGGAGCATTATGCCGCAGAAGAGTATTTAAGCAATCCAGATGTTGCTGAAGTGAGATTGCAGATTGATGTCAAAATGGATCCGAACTGGGTTGCTTGTGTGATGTTTCGGATGCAAAATGCTTCCGCGCCACAATTTGATCCCGAAAATTCCCACAAGCATTCTCAACAGCCCATTCACGGAGCTTTCTATTTGGCATTCGAGTCGAATTCACTTCCAATGCTTGTAATATTTATTTGGACGATTCTGCCTTGAATAACCGTAAAGTCGGGGTCCTGGTTCAAGCTCACCCAGTTGCGGAATAACCTCAAACTATTGCAACTACACAACGCCCTACGACTGACACCTGCAGAAGGGGAGTTCTTCTTAATATTGGCTTATTTCTGTCCTCAAAATTACATGAAAACTTTTTTGTAGCTTTTGTGCAGCTTTTGGATCGAGAGCTATCGTCGCCTGTCACAATAGACGTTTGCTAAAACTCCCTGGTTCTAAGACTGCGTATCTAGGCACGCGAAGAGACTCATGTAGTACGTGTTCCATAACGCGATCTTGTATTCAGACGAAGGGAGTATCTGCCAAAATCCATACAATGTCAACACGCAGGGGTTTGAGGATACGTTCTTGATGCGGTGCGAAGCAGTTTCTAATACGTTGCCCAGGTATCTTTAAGTGAAAGATAGCATGGGCCAGCGATAAAACATGTACATGGCACGAGGAAATCTTCTTCAGTTTGCATTAATATCGATATACAAGCGAAGTTCTATTAGCAACCTCCATGAGTAAAATCAGATCTGAGGGATTTCATAAGAAGCATCAGTTCGAAACTATGCTATGCTTCTGCTGGTCGTAGAGCAAGTTCAAGTAAAGCTTCTTTATGATCATTGCTGAAAATAGTAATTGCACCCATCACGATGGGAATTGAAAACTACTACAGATGTTCACTCGACAACAATGGTCTGAGCAAAGATCTAGTCAGCGACATAACCAAAGGCAAAAGCCTGTGTTATGTTGCAAGCATGAGCTTCTGACCAAACTGTCACAGGTCTCAATACTTTAGTAGTTGCCTGCGTCTGCTACTATGGATGATTTTTCTACCCATCTTGCATCTCGAACCCTGACGAAGAACTTGGCTAGATGGTTTCTAGAACCTTTTTGGTGCCAAAGAACCCTTCTGGTATTGCGACGGGTAGACCCGTTTGTCCGAACCATCAAAACTTTTCTCGGCCTATGAAATCAAAGTTTTCCTCTTGGTCCGCAAATCATAGATGCGGCTCTAATGCATACAGCATCTGCCGGAATTGACTCAGTGATAGCATTCGATCAAAGAAGAGGCAGATACGCCACCACCAACGAGCTATACCGGAATCGCCAAACCGTTATCTTTCAACGCGATTTTAGAAGCCGTTTGACTCATGTAGGCGTAGTCCATTCGATTCAACGACCGGTAGTCCGGTTCCATGGGTACGGTACACAAACCGCCGCGTCCCCAATCTGTGTTCAGACCCTGAGTCGTCGAAATTTGTCCGAGTCAAAGCCCATCCGTGACCGCGTCCGAAGCACGTCACACAACCACCACAGACCATCGATCACAGGAGGAAACATCCGGCCGTGCCCATTCGGAACAAAAACGGCCTTCCGGCGGTTCGCTTCCTGTCACAAACCGACGGATCTACCATCCTCCCGTCACGCTCTTGCGAGCTTCCTCACGACAACCGGGATGGCAGCCTCCAGAACATTCGAGGCTGGCTCCACGCCTCCCGTTCTGGAAATCACTTCCCTTCTTGAACAAATCCCCGACATCATCTTTGAGATCGCATCGCATCTTCCCACCGAAACGGTACTCAGTCTTGCGCTCACGTGCAAACCACTCCACATCCTGCTTTTCAGTCGCACTTTGAAACGGATATCAACCCGTCAACGACACGTCTTTCTTTTCACACTCATGAGAGACTTGAATAATACGATAAAGGCAGATCACTACTACTGCCATACCTGCGGGAAAATCTACGTCTGGCGGTGTCCGGCGGACAAACCACATGGACCAAAGGATAATTGCCCATTCATCAAGAACGAAATGCACGACACTCTCAACTCAGCGGGACACACTTGTTTAGGGACCCCAAATCGTTACTGGACTCATAATATTCCGCCGCGCGTTGAGCGGTATGGGAAAGGCATAGCGCTTCATACTGAACGGCAAGGATTCCTCAATTGTTGTGGTACTGGATCGAAGACATAGCGAAGCAACACACATGGGTTTTGCAAAGATACCATTTCAAGGCTTTTCTTAATCATATGAAGATAATACTGAGATAATTATACCAATATCCCCTCTGCCGCCAAACGCCGGAATCATGTGCTATGCTATTCTATCTCTATGCGAGATTTAGTTCAATCCGATCTGACCAAGCAGCCACTTGGCCTCCTCAAACACCTCCTCAGGCTTGTTCTCGCCCTCAACAGGGAAGACATCCAGCTCCTCAAGGCCAGCAGGCTCATAGACGCCAACCTGACCCTCCACCATGCTCGCAAGCATGTAGTGCCCCTTCCTCTCATTCATCCTCTTCACGAGTGTCTCGGCCGCACATTGAATGTCCAGGAAGACTATTTTCGCACCCTCGTTCTTGGAGACAACATCTCTCAGAGTGTCACGGTAAGACTTCTTCAGCGCCGAGCAGCTTACGACGACAGAGTCGTACCCCAGGTCCTCGATGGTCTCAATGGCGCGCTTGCCAATGCGACCCAACCACGACGCGCGGTCGTCGTCAGTCAGGGGCAGGTTAGCTCCCATCTTCTCAACAGCTGCCTTGGAGTGCAGCGAGTCGCCCTCGATGAAGGGAACCTTGAGCTCCGAGGCCAAAGAGGTGGCGAGAGTGGACTTGCCGCTGCCGCAGGGTCCAGCAACCATGATGACCGTCTTTGAGGAGTTCTTGGCCTGCTGAACCCAGTGGTTGGCCTCGAAGTACTGGACGAAGTTGCTGACGAGCTGCTGGGTCAAGATAGGAGCCTCCGCCAGCGCAGGGGAGAGCGAGCACGCCGTGTCGGTGACATAGGTCTTGGACGGCGCAAACTCATCCTTGTCGTACTTGCTCGCGAAGAAGTCGACGAGCTTGATGGGCGGGTTGGCGGCGGGGTCAGGGTTCGATGCACGCAGACGACGAATCCACTCCTTGGGCTCGACCTCTTCGAACTCCAGGCCAGCAGCCTTGAGGGCGGGCAGAAGGTCGTTGGTCCAGCTGAACATCTTCGGGTTGGCGACGTTGGTGAAGACACCGTCGGCGTCAGAGGTGGAGATGTCGATGACAGCCTGGGCGACGGTATCGACGGGGAGCCAAGACGGCGTCTCCTGGAGCTTGGGGAGCGCGCCGACGGTGATGGCGGTCTGCAGCATCAAGGGGATGGCTTCGGTCGCGTTCCAGACGCCGTGCTCGGTGTCCGCGACGATCTGTCCGATGCGGAGCACGCGGGCCTTGACGCCGGACTTCGCGGAGGCGCGAGAGCAGAGATGCTCCGCGACGCACTTGGACTGCGCGTATCCCATGCCCTGCGCCCACTCGAAATCAGGGACAGACTCGGGAACGGGGATAGTTGTGGCGCGAGCGACGGTGCTCACGGAGGAGCAGAAGTTGAAGGTGGCGGTAGATGAGGCATCGTCACCAGCAGCCTTGGCAAGCGCGATAAGGTGGTTGACGCCGGCGATGTTGCCCTTCTCAAAGCTGGAGAGGCGCATGTTGAAGTTGACGGACCAGGCGCAGTGGATTACCGTGCGGAGGTCTTGCTTGACCTGGCCATAGGCGGTTTCCGAGAGACCAAGTTTGGGATCGGCGAGATCGGTGGCCAGAGCGACGAGCTTTCTGCGGGAGGTCGCGGGGAGGGTGTGGTAGAGGCGGCGCTGGATGAGAGAGCTCTTCACACGACGGGCGGCATCGGCATCTGAGGACGCGCGGGTGAAGCAGTAGATGGTCTTGATGGTCGGGTCAGCGGCGAGCTTGGCGACGACGTGAGCTCCGAGGGAGCCAGTGGCACCAGTGACAGCCTGTAACAAGTTAGTTGCCATTTGTTGAAGGGCGGAATGGGGATTCTTACGATGGAAGATCGAGGGGCCGCCTTGGGGGCCTCGAAGGTATCGTACTTCTCGATGAGCTCGCTCATCTCAGTCTCGATAGGAACATCAGTGGCAATACCCTCTCCAGAGCCCAGACCGAAGAGGTAAGCACTGAGCTTGTTGATCGACGGATGATCAAAGACGACGGTCTGTCCAAGCTTGCTGCCGCCAATGTCAATGGTTCGGAGGATATCGGAGCGCATCTGGATAGCCTGCAGGGAGTCGAGACCGAGAGAGAAGAAGTCGGTGTCGTCGTCAAGGTCAACCTTCTTGGACAAGGCCTGGACGAGCCCCTGTCGGATGAAGTCCTTCAACTCAGGCAGGGAGAGCTTCTTCAGGTCACCGCTGCTGGCGTCTGCCTTGTCGTAAACCTCGTCAATCTCCTGGGCGTATCTTTTGTAGAAGGCCTGGCGAATGACACTGCCCTTGTCGGTCCTGGGGTAGGCGCAGTCGTAGGGAAGAAGCTTGATCATGTTCTTGGATACACGAGCATAAGCCTCGGCCTTGCGGCTTGCCTCCTCAACGACAGGCCAAACAGCCTCCAGGATCTCCTCATCAGTCTTGCCAGCGAGAGCCGGAGCAGGGACGATGAGGGCACCGAGGGATGGACGTCCGACGCCGAAGATGACGCACTCGGTGATGTTCTTGTTGGAGCGGATGGTGCCCTCCATGTGGACGGGGTTGAACTTCTCGCCGTTGACCAGGGCGATCGTGTCGTCCAAGCGGGCAATGTACTTCCATGCCTTGGGAATCGTGGGATGGGGCTCGAAGAGGTCCTTGGTGCAGTAGGAGCCGTCGTCCTGGTTCGTGGCAACCTTCGCCGGCCAGCCTGGCAGGACGCAGCACTCGAATAGGTTCGGGCCGCGGGGAATCCACTTGAGGTACGGCTCGAGCTTGTCGTGGACGCGGACATAGTTCCAGACCTTGTCGTTAGGTGGGCGGAACGAGGTCATTAGTTGACCAACCTCGGTACTGTCCAGTGTTAGTCTTGTTACGAAGGAAGAGTGGGAATCCACTTACGCTCCGTAGTGGCCAACAAGGTTGACTCCGTTGTTGACCAGAGTGTCGCCGAGGTCGTCAGGGCAGGCGGAGCCACCGTACATAACGATCTTCAGCTGACGCAGCAGAGCCATGCCCTCGTCAGTCTCGGCGAGAAGCTTCAGCGCGTAGGGAACGCCATAGAAGATCTCAAAGTTGTGCTTGCGCATGATGCCGGTGAGATGCTCTCGGGTAAGAGGGAGGTCCGCGTTGTACAGGTGGATGGACTTTCCGGAGTAGATAGCCCGGTACAAGTTGCAGATGCCATGGTTATGATACAGAGGCAGAGTAATGAAGGCCTTCATGTCCATGCTACTGGAGTAGTTGGCGATGGCAGACTTCTGCGTCTGGTAGATGGGCTTGGGGAGACCAGTTGATCCTAGAAATGTTAGTCGTACTCTCAGAATTATGAGTATATGTTGACTTACCACTGGAGTGGATGATGTAAATGAGATTGTTCGTCTCAACTGAGAGGTCGCGCCCATAGTCCAGCTGAGTATCAGCATGTACCTCAATGGGGAAGTCAAAGGTCGATTGACTCGCGATCTCAAAGACATCGAGGTAGGAAAGGTTCTGCTTGGCACCCTCAGCCGTCTCAAGATACCTCTTGTCGGCAATGAGGAACTTGGCGCCGGTGGTTGTGGTGAGAGACTCAATGGCCTCCTGTGAGATTCTGGTCGACAAGAATAACGTCGTGTGGCCGAGCTTGGTCAGCGCCAGCATGGTGATAAGATAGTCAAAGTTGGACGGGCCCAAGACGGCCACGGTCGTCGGCTTCTCATCGGAGTTGAGACGGCTGGGGATGCGCTGCTCGTAGAACTTGGCAACGCGGTAGGCGAAGACATCAAGCTGTCTCATTGTGTAGTCGACATAGTTGATGCCAGACGAAGGATAAGACACAATGACACTGTCCGGGTGCGCCCGGGCGCGACGGCGCACCAGCTCGTCCACCGTCTTGATGGTGCTGTCATCGTTGTCCCAGCCCTGAGCTGCGGCGGCCGTGGACTCGGTGAGGGGATTCGCAGCCAGGCTGGAGCCCGGGAGCTCCGCACTCGTGGGGCCGTAAACTGAGGGAGGACTCATGGTGGTTGGTGTCGCACGTGGTTCATCCAAAAGTGAGAGCGGTCGGGGGAGTACACTGTACCGTCAACAGCTACTCTCTCTGGTTCTCTCAACTGCTGGATGGTTTGGTGATGTCGGTTCGAGTTGGAGATTCACACACCACCTTTTTGAGAGTTTCAATACGGCCCCCGGGACGAGACGAGTTGCCCATAATTCCGACGCCGGTGAGGCGCGTCCCGCCCTGCTGATGCATTGCTTGACGCTTCCGAGTGGATGATGGCGGTGATGGCGATCGTGTGGAGGAGGGTCTCCGTCTGCAGGGGGTACAAAATCCGTTTCTCCACAGTTTTTGGGGCAAACTGGCGGATTTGGAGCGTTGCGCTAACGGAGAATGACGGATTTCGGCTTTGGTAACCGGGATGCGGCTAGGTCACGGATACGAATCCGCTTGCTAGAACAGAGCTCCGTGATGCTGCAGCAACTTGAGAGCCACAGTAATTCTTCGTGATGAATTCGTAGCGTGGCTGAAACCGATTTATTATCTTCTTGTCCTGTTGCTGAAAGTCACCTGTTCTGGCACATCATCACTCGAGCACCTTGTTTGTTACTCGTACACACCCCTCAGCACCTTCAGACGCCAACCACTCGGATAACACCATCATCCCTGCACCGTATTACACAACATGCCTCTTACCACACACTTCACCCTCAACACCGGTGCAAAGATTCCCGCTGTGGGATTCGGCACCTGGCAAGCCGGGCCGCACGAGGTTGAGCGTGCTGTTGAGACTGCCCTGCGTGCCGGTTACCGTCACATTGACTGCGCCGCCATCTACCGCAACGAGGCAGAGGTCGGCGAGGGCATCCGCAAGAGCGGCGTTCCTCGCTCAGAGATCTTTGTCACTGGAAAGCTGTGGAACACTAAGCACAAGGCCGAAGATGTCGAGTCTGGTGTCGACAAGACGCTGAAGGACTTGGGCACGGATTACCTTGACTTGTTCCTGATGCACTGGCCCGTGTAAGTTGGATGCATAAATGTGTGAAAGTGAATCTAAAATCGTGCTGACATGATATCCAGCGCTTTCAAGCCTTCGGACAAGTGGTTCCCCATCGACTCCAACGGAGTCTTTGAGCTGGCCGACATCGACCCCGCGGAAACGTGGGCGGCGATGGAGAAGCTGGTTGAAAAGGGCAAGGTCCGCGCCATTGGCGTCTCCAACTTCACCAAGCAGCGCATCGAGGATCTCCTCACCAAGACCAAGACGGTCCCTGCCGTCAACCAGATTGAGGCACACCCCTACCTGCAGCAGCCCGATCTGCTCAGCTACTGCAAGTCCAAGGGCATCCAATTGGCTGCCTACTCTCCTCTGGGTAACAACCAGACCGGCGAGCCGAGAACGGTGGATGACCCCCTGGTCGGCGAGCTGAGCAAGAAGCTGGGCATCGACGGCGGCCAGCTTCTGGCCTCTTGGGGTGTGCAGCGTGGCACCGTTGTTCTGCCCAAGAGCGTCACCCCCAGCCGCATAGAGTCCAACTTCAAGGTCCAGGAGCTGCCCGAGGATGTCTTCGCGCAGCTGAACGGCCTGGAGAGGAACAAGAGGTTCAACTGGCAGACGAGATGGGGCTTTGACATTTTCCAGGAGCTGGGCGAGGAGGAGGTCAAGCGCGTGGCGCAGGAGACGGGGCCGGAAAACCTGACAAAGTTCACTGTGTAAAATAGTTAAAATGTTTTTTAATGATTATAGACTATGTTTCTCATCCACCTATATCCGGCATCCACGCGTACGGGTTTGCGTCAATGTCCAAGTACGGACCAAATGCTGAGGAGTCGAGGTCTAGCCAATCCGTCGTTTGCCACTCGTCTAGTAGGTTGGAACCGAGGAGCCCTGGGTCTCCTTGGTCCATGAGATCGACTGTTCCAGATCCGGCAGCGTATGCGGAGTTGAAGTCGAATCCGCCCACCGTGGTCGTGCCGTTTCCATGAGGTTGGGGTAGCTGTGTCTGGGTGTCCGCAGCGGGAGCAGCTGGTCGAGGTGCTGCAGCTTGCGAGGCCATGGGAGGTTGTCCGTTGTTTTTCCGTGTCATCTGTCCCAGGCCTTCCGTTCTGAACTCTTCCAGGATTATGGCATATCGCCGACTTGGAGAATTAGATGCCGTTGCATGAGCGAGGTGTGTTTGGCAACGCTCAGCGAGGTCCATGAGCTTCGCATGCTTTATCTTGCCTTCACTCTCGAGCGAGATACCCCGGCGCTTTTGCTGTATGTCCCAAACGTATGTTACAAGTAGGGCGCAGAACGTGACGTATTGAGTCCACCAGAAAGCGTGGAAGATGGGCCCTTCTGCGGCCATGCCGTCAACAGTCTCCAGTACCGTCCGCGCTGCGCCGAGACATTCCAAGATCTGTGTCTCGCTGCCAGAACTGATATTACCCAGGAGAAACAGACGATTTGCATGCATGATCGCATGTGAGTAGGCCAGTTTCAGCACAGTGGACTGGCGACGGAAGCTGGGGATCAGCATCGAAGGTCTTATCGAACCCAGGTGTGGTGGAAGGCTGGCGCGCCATTCGTGGATCTTCTCGCTGAAGCGATGTGCGGCGGCAACTCGTTCTTGTTCCGAGATGGCCTTGATAGAGTAGACTTCCCTCGACGTGTTGCCGATTATTTGCGCAATTCTTTGAGCAGGATTAGCTTTGGATTCCTATCAGTGTTCGGAACGACCGATAAACTCACTTTACATGACATATCAGGGCGTCAATATGACAATCTGAATGCTCTTCGAAGCGTTCAATGGGCCCCTGCGCAGTCATGTCTTCGTCGTCAACTCGTTCGGGAAAGTCTTGGTCAATATCATCGTCGTGGAAATGCCTTGGTCGACCGAATATCACGCCCAGATACTTATCAAGTACGTAAGCTGTCCAGAATGTTCGCGACCGACATTGGGCCTGGATGTAGTCTGAGTTTCCCGCAGCCAAGTGCCGCTTCTTCGCAGCTTTTCGATGCATTCCGAGGGCGGATATTATTTGCAGTGCGTTCCCGAATGTATACCACGCTCTGTTCATCCGAGAGGTTGTGAGTAGATAGAGCACCTGAATGAGACGAGATTGCGCGGATTCCACCCTGGGTAGGCCGGTTTCACGCTCGGTCAACTGGAGTGCGACGCAGAATAGACGATCGCTCCTTGCGAGAGATAGCCTTTCATCTTCTGGCTCGTGGAAGCCCTTGGACTTCTCGCTGTGAGCGGTGGCCACGGCGAGGGCCGTAAGTACGATGGATGCCTTGGCGCGGCCGATGTCATGCCAAACAGGTTTGCCCTGAGCGAGATTATTCACCATTGTCTTGAGCCAGGACTCCGCCGTCGGTCGATGCAGAACACGATACGTGGCAATACAGACGTCGAAGTACATGCCAAACAGTTGCTGGAGCTCTCCGTAACTGGGCAATGAGAAGTTGGCGACATCGTCGTCAGTGATTGGCGGCAGAGGCTTGTCACCAGCCAGCATGAGTGGCTGATTCTCCGTTGAAGCGTTGAGATAGTCGGGCACAATGCTGCTGTCGTGTTTAGACAGCCTCTTCCAGGCTCGGTGAAGGAAAGTGACGCCCGAAGTCGGGTCGAAGACCTGGCCCTGGATCTCGGCCATGCCAAGCTCGGGCGAGGCTCTTGAGGCTGGGCCCTGGCTCTCGCGCACCTGGCCGCGCAACGAGGATGCTGTTACCGGTGCGGATATAGTGCGTCCCCCTGTCTCGGTTGTCTGATACATGACAGGAGGCTCCTCAGAGCCAGACGCCGGGCCGCCAGGGTGAGAGGTGCTAGAGCTTGCAGACCAAACAGCAGATGGAGGCGGCGTTGGAGGTCTTCCACGGGAGTACTTGGCATCGTAGACGCAGGTGAGGCCCTTGCGCGTACACTTGTCGCAGGGAATGGTCCCGCTACACTTGGCCTTGCGCTGCTTGCAAAAGTCGCATGCGCGGCTCACTTTCTGCGACTTGCGGCGGTTGGCGGCAGCACCGGGCCCGCTGAGCTGCTGCTGCTCGTCGGACAGAGGCGACTGATGATCGGCGGAGCTGAAGCTTCTTTTCCGTGATTCGCCGATACTTCCTCCTCCACGGGGGCTCGACACCGAGGCTGCTGCTGCCGAGGATGCGCGGTGGGCAGCATCGGCGGCCGCCGGGCTGGCCGGGCCCGGGAGCGGGCGACGGAACTCGTCCATGGGCCGATGAGTGGGCCGGAGCCGGAAACTGTCTGTCGCACACCCGGGATGACGGGCAGGGGAGCACTTGGCAGAGCCAGCAGAGGTGTGACGCGGGCGCGCGCACCGTCGGTCGATGGAGAGGAGGTTGGAAAGTCGGAAAAGAAAGAGTTGCAAGAGACAGAAGTCGACGGAAAACGGAGGGGATTTGTCTGGGGAAGGACAAGACTGGAGGATGAGGGGCGGAGGCTGGGGGCACGCGCTAAACATACAGGGGTCTGCAGCCAGAAGCGGGGGAGCCAATGGGCGCTGAGGGTCGCTGTATCCAACCCGCCGACTCATTACTTACTTGAATCAGTTGCTGTCCCTAGGGCGTGTGTGTGTGACCTCCTTTGAGGCGTGGAGGTGGACGGGTCTGGGGAAGATCCGGTGGGAGGGCGGGGAGAGACCGACGGATTTCTGAAAGACACCACGAGCTCGCCCGGTTTTGCCCGGTTTCATGATGTGAATGTCAGCAAGATGGGTCCTGCCTGCATTCAGACGGGCAACGGTGCTGCACAATGTATTCTCTGATGCTACGCTCGGCACATTGTGCCGGATGTTGAAGCTGTAGGCTGTTGAGCAAGCAACTGTTGCATGCAGATCTGGAGATAACACTTGGCTTTCTGCCCGTTCGGCCGATCTTTTATTACCGATCATAACCGTAATACAAAGGGACCTTGGCCATAGGAGAACAGATGAGATGATGTGTGAGTCAAGGGCGCCGAGATTGACCGGAGATTAGGAGACTTCAAACTTGACTATTGGGACGAAAGACAATGATGAACAGCACTTCTGACAATACACTGTATCTTGGACACTTGAAAATGTTTGAACCTCCGTAGATAGAGATAAGGGCATGAGTAAATGTAGACCTATCCAGGTATTGATGGAACTGATTATGGTCACAAATTGTTGGCCAGTCCATAAGTCCATTGAATGATGTTACTATGAGCCTGAAGTCACGGCGAACTTTTGTTTCATATCCTACCCAGAACGACGGAACACATACAATCTTTGTTTTTGATTATCATTTTGAGCTTGATTATAGATCTCCAGGTCATCAGTGTGTGAACTTGGGCGTTCATGTACAGCTTAATTGCAGCGCACATCATCACTTTCCTAAAGAAATAAAAAAAATGGGCCAGAACGCGATTGTTTCTGATAATTGACGTGAACAATCGCTAAATATGGATAAATGGTCTAACAGTCTTGCGCACATCCACCAAAATTGATCCTCCCGTGAATCCGTGATTGTCGATGTGCCGGACCCGTACTCCAGCAACGCCATCAAACAGTGCCTTAGTAATCAGTCGCGATATGAACCTTACAGAGTGTACCTGAACAACGGGCTCTTGTCGCCCATCCGCATAAGCTCCTCCTCGGTGTACTTGGCACGAACCTCCGCCTCGGACATCTTGTCGCGCCTGTTGTTCTCCCACTTGTAGCTCAGCTCCAGCAATAGCGCAACGATGACACCACTGCCGCCAAAGGCCAGAGACAGGCCGAAGCCAGTGTAGTACTTGGGCTTCTCGCTGTCGAGGTACATGTAGCTGCCGATGATGCCACCGATGTTGCCTACGCAGATGTTGAAGGCGACACCGATGGCACGACGGGATGCGGGAGCCAAGTTGTTGGAGGCCCAGGAAGAACCAGCGGGCTGGATGGGGTAGATGCCCATGCAGGTGATGATGACACCGACCATAGCAGCCGCAACGTTGCCGGAGAGGTCGCCCTTGAGGGAGATGATGATGCCGTAGCCGATGGCGATGAGACCGAGGGGGATCGCGACGAAGGGCATGCGCCAGTAGTAGCGGTCGGAGAGGCGGGCGAAGAAAAGGGCGGAAATGGCACCGGCGACGTAGGCAGGGACGGTCATCAGCTGGGCCGTGGTGTTGTTGAATCCCATTGCCTTGGTGATTGTGGGAAGCGTAAACTTGGTTCCTGCACAAGACTTTGTCAGATGGTGTTTCGTAAGCATCAGGGATTGCAAAGTGTCCTGACTTACCATAACTGCAAGCAGAAGTAGCCAACAAGGCCCACGCCTGCATGTACAATCTCCAGTTCGTGACGACCGCCTTCACGTCGCCCCACTTGAACTTATCCTCGTTCTCCTCGTCTCTGAAGCGGCCGCCCTGCTTGATGAAATGCTGAATCTCAAGGAAACGAATCTCATCGGGGGCCAGCCACTTGGTGCTAAGAGCCGGGGTGTCGATCAGGAAGAAGAAGGTAGCAATGCCAAGGAGAACGGTGGCGATGCCCTCAAGCAAGAAGATCCAGCGCCAGCCCTCGTAGCCACCCACACCATCCATCTTGGCGATTGCAGCGGCCAGAAGACCGGAGAAAGCACCAGAGAGCGAGGATGTGCAGTAGAAGCAGGCAATGCGGATCGCCAGGTCTCTCGGCATGTACCAAAAGGAAACAAGGTACACAGCGGCGGGGAAGAAGCCTGCTTCGAATACTCCGAGCAGGATGCGGACGGTCAGGAGACCAGCAAAGTTCTTGACGACACCGTGGAGGGTCATGATGATTCCCCAAATCGTGACGAGGGAGCCGAGGTAGACGGAAGGGCGCTTGAACTTCTTCAAGAGGATGTTGCTAGGCACCTCTGTGAAACGCCGGTTATTGAGTCTTCTTTTGTCATTTTGACAGGTTGCTTAAACTTACCAAGAAGAATGTAGGGAATGAAGAAGAGAGACAACGCAATGTTCCACTGGACACCGTCAAGGCCAAGGTCATCTGCCAACCCCTCAATCTTGGCGTTGCCAATGTTGGCACGGTCAAGATGCGAGGCAAGGTACAGAATCGCAAGCATGGGAACCAAACGATAATCAACCTAACTTTTTGTCAGGCTCCGAAACAACATACTGATGGCTCGAAGCTCTTACCTTGCGAGTGGTCGCCTTCCGTTGCTCAGGTGTGAAGTTGGCATAGAATTCGGCGTCATCGTCGCTCAGACCCAACACGCGCATGTTGTCAATGGTCCGCACCACGGGGCCCTTCTCTGAATCCGAGCCATTTTCGGCCTCTCTGTCGTCAATGAAGGCGATCTCTGGCTTGTCGGTGGCCGACATCTTGGCTGGTGATTGTGTGCAGGAAGGCTTCGGGGGAGGGGGTAGGGGAGGTTTATCTGCCGTTCGAGGTGGTCGTACTCAACTGTTGAGAGAAGAGAAGTGAAGTTGTAAGAGGGAAGAAAGGGGTGTTTTCTGGCCTAAGGACAGAAGAAAGACCAGACCGAGACCTGAGCAGATCGCGACGTGCCGGTGGCTCATATGTATGTTTCGACGAAGAGGTCCAACTTCCCGGGGCCCCGAGTAAATGGAAGGATTCAGTTACGTTCACGCGCAGGAGGGCAGAGGAACAGGCACAGGACTTGGCATGCCGGGTTGCACAACCGGAGTTTGGCTATCTCTCTGCTGACGAGTTGGACCCTCGCTGCTCGCGCGCGCGCCTGTTGTGTACGTAGTACTGGGGAGGGAGAGAGGAAGAGGTTCATGGTTGTGTGGGGTCCCCGCAATCGCGGAGACCATGGGCCGGCCGCTGTGGATGCCGTCTTCCTGCGAGAATGGGGAGAGTGGGAAGCTGGCTTGCGGGCAATGTGCATGGCCATGGGTGGTTTCGACTTATCCGTCGTGACGGATTTTCGAAAGGGGGCCACTTTAAGTCGCATGTTGTTGGCGTCTTTACGGATTTGGCTCCACCTCAAGCCGTAGTCGCCATGCGTAGAGAAAGCCGACAGGTTGACCTTGTCTTTGTCTGGTGATGGAAGATGACGCTACAGAAGAGTTAGGACGAAAAAGAAACAGGGCCACATGGGCGGGCAGAAAAGAGAACCGGGGCAGAGGTATGGCATGTGGTTTGGATTCTTGGCTAGGTGAGCCAAGAGTGACGGACTTTGGTCCAGCCAGCCAGCCGGGAATTCAGGTGATGCTTCCTCAGACCCGACTGAGAGGCTCGGCCGACATCCAAGTGAAAGCTTGGCTTGCTGAAATCTGAACGCGGCTGAGAAGCAAAGAGCCGCTGCGTTCCTTGGAGACCATGCGGAGAATTGTCGCCCAACAGAGAGACACACACTTCTCTCCAAGAAGACACCCTTGTCGATGCAACTGCACACCTCTTCCCGCCTGCCGTGGGGGTTGCCCCAATCCTCCCGTCTTCTCCCGTCTGCTCCCTTCTGTAGCCACCCGTCTCTAGCCCTTTGTCCTCGGTCATGTCGCGCGGGGAATGCGGGGAAGATAACGGACTCTTCTTGCTCGCGACGGGGCCGCTCGTCAGTCGCGTGTGTTGGGGAACATCAAGGATGGACACGGTAAACCAGCATCAAACTCGCAGGAAGCGGATTAATATTTTCGTTAGATTTCGTACAAGTCGTCGGAATTAGTTACATGCATTACGCCATTATGAAATACGTGTCCATCAATCATGGCACGTCAACACTCGCTGCGGCCGAAAGGGGTGTATGTGCATGTTGGACCCCTACGTCGCGATGAACAATTTCTCCTCACCACCCCTCTCAGTCCTCAAGACACAACCATCAACAGGATTACACTGGCACGTCCTTCTCAGAGTGCGAGACGCGAATCTGCTGGTTGTAGTTGTGCATCGCCTTTTCGTCGACATCCTCACTGAAGACGTCCACCTTGGTCGACTCGAACTTGCGGGCGCTGACCTTGTGCTCGAACAGAACATCCAGCTCGGCAAACGTACGGCCGCGGGGCTCCGGGACGCGGAAGTACGTGTACACGCAGCAGCAGAAGCAGATGCCGCCCCAGAAGAAGCCGGTGTAGTTGGACCAGTTCCACGCGGTCGGGTTCAGCATGTACGGGGTGACGACATTGTTGAAGATGCCCACGATGTTGCTACGGCGACGGTTAGCATCGGCAAACACATTTTGTGGGGATTTCGGGGGTTGACTCACTAGAGGTTGCGTCCGAGGACGATGGTCTTGATCTGCAGACGACGCGACGGCAGCTCACTGACGAGCGAGTAGCAGACGGTGCCGACGGTAAGCTGGTAGAACATGGCCCAGACGATCATGATGCTACCCGTTGCCAGCGCGCCCTGCTCACGGTGCGCGGAGGGGACGAGACCCAGGAAGCCGAGGATCATGAGCATGCTGCACAGTCCGCAGAGGCCGTAGAAGTACAGCGTGCGTCTGCCAATGCCCCACGACATCAGGAACCAGGCGCCAAAGACACCGACCATGTTGATGGCATATTGACCGAGAGCGAACTTGTATGAGTTGGCGGTGGAAAGGCCGGCTTGCTTGAGGAAGTACCTACGCGCAGCTGTCAGTCGATGCAAACCACACCCAGAAATATATAGGACGATTCACTTACGTAGAGTAGTTGGAGAACGAGTTGCCGCTGAGGTTCTGGATCGCCCAGGTCATGCAGACAATCTCGGTGCGACGCAGGTCGACGCCCTTGAAGCAGTCCATGTACGTCGCGCCGGCCGTGATCTTCTCCTCGAGCGCCGTCGTGTGCACCATCATGGCGACCGTGTCGTCGGCATCGAACTCCGTGTCCTTCTCCTTGCTCGTCAATCGCAGCAGCGACTTCTTGGCCTCGTCAATCTTGCCCTTGCGCACCAGCCACCACGGCGACTCGGGCGCAAAGTAGATGCCAATGGCCAGCGGCACCGGCCACATCCACTGCAGCGCGTACGGGATTCGGTACGCCCACTCGTCCTCGCGGTCGAGCATGGACATGATGACGCCGATGCCGATCTCCTGGCCGAGGCCCCAGCAGAAGTTGACATAGGTCGTCAGGTAGCCGCGCAGGGCGACGGGGCAGACCTCGGAGGCGTACGTGATGCACAGCGTCTGGAAAACACCCCACGGGATGCCGCAGAGGATTTCGGCGGCGAGGAGGGTCTGGACGTTCTGCGCGGTGAAGAAGAGGGCCGTAAAAGCGGTGACCAGCATCAGGCAGATGATGACGGTCCACCTGTAGCCGAAACGTTCCGAGACCCATCCGTTGATGAAGAGGCCGATGATCTCGCCGACGGTGGCGCCGTTACTCAGACCGGCCTGCCACGGCGCGGGAACCTCGCACTCGCCGGCTGCGTTGCAGACGCCGTACTTGCGGTTGAATTGGGGGAATGCGTAGAAGTTGCTGACGAGGGAGATGTCGTAGCCCTCCATGGCGATGCATGTTGAGATGAGGACCGACCACGCGATGGCCTTGGGGTACAGCTTGATGCCCTGCGAGAGGCTCATCTGCTGTTCCTTGTCTGACGCATTTTTGGCGCTCTGGACGAAGTTGTTGGCGAGCTTTGCGGAGTGGTGATCGCCGATCTCAGCCGAATCGCGGTTGTTGACGCCGACGATAAGGTCATTGTCTGGGGGAGTTTTGGTGTCCGCCATTGTTCGGAGAAACGAAGGTTGAGATCCGATGCGGTTGATGGATGATCTCGCTGGTGTGCAGTGTGCTGAGGATGGCCGTCCGCAGAACCGAGATGTTCGCAAAAACTGCTGCTGTTGCTGCGAGATGGAACTCAAGACACCTCGATGATGGGGGGAGGAACCGCGAGATAAAATACCAGGAACGCGCGGCGGCGGATGTTGTTTGTGGGACGAGTTCGCCGGTTCGAGCCCACAGAAAAAAGGGCACGAATTTTTAAAGAAGAGCGTAGAAAGATGGGGCCGGGGGGGATTGGGTGCTCGATTGTTCCGTCGGCATCGCGTTCGTCGGTGAAGGAATCAATCGTTAACCGTAATCTGCCGGACAACAACCTCCTCCAGCTAATGAGAAGCTGAGCCGGAGGCCCATTCGAGCTGCCGACGAACAGGGGCAAAACTGGCGCGGGCGGGCGGTCGGTCGGTCGTGAGGGCGATATCTGGGCTAGGTTCCTGGGTTTCCTAGGTCACAAGTTCCGGCTGCTCGTCGCGCGAACGAGTCGTCGACCAGATAAGGTGACATTTTGGGATAGTGAGATGAGGGGTTGACAGCTTCGACAGGGTTTGGCCCCCTCACGAGAAACCGAAGTAATTGGACGCCGGCGCCATTGAGTTTGTGTCTCCGCGTGTGCGTGCATGTCTTGGGGTCCGTGGGATGGTGTGCCGTTGTGTTGAGTGTTGGTCAGGTGAGCATATCGTTCATCCAGCCCGTTGGAACCAAGGGCACATTGGGCTAGGAAGAGTCTTGGGGAAGAGGAACATGAGTCGCGAAGAGAGAGAGACGCGGGAGAGTGTGTGACAGAACATGAACATGTGTGTGTGCGTCAATTGAACATGAACAAGAGGGGGGAGGGACATGTCCAAATAAGACTGCGCAAGAGCGGTGGAAACTCGTGCTTGTTTCTTATGTTTATGCGAAGAGCCACAGCCCCCAAAATGACCTCAGAAAGAGTTCTCGAGGCCAGCAGCGAGAGTTGCAGACCCTGAATAATGTGCTGGCTGAGGGTCCTGTTTGAATGGGTCGGGACATGCTCGGGCATCGGGGTTGGCAGCCAGCAATTCCCAACTGAGAAATGCGCTCTGGAAGCAGTAAAAAGTGCCCGGTCGCAAGCCAGAGAAACCACTGAAGTCCCCTGGAGTGAAAAAAAAGTGTGTGGTGGGTGGAGGGATGTCGTCGGTTGCGCTGCTGACAAGTCGCAATCCCCACACACGTCATTCGTCGCGGCCCCAGACGGGCAGACGCAAGCTTTCGTCCAAATACACAGATCTGCTCAAAATCGAGGGGCTCCCCCAGATCTTCTCCATCTTCCCCGGGTTTCACTCAATCTTGAGAGCAGCCGCACTGGGGTCGGAAAGAATTGACAAGATTGCTTTGTGGCATGCCATCTCCCGAAGCGCCTGATTCGTTGAGTGCCACGACCTGGTGAGTTGACCGCGCGCAAGTCTGGTGATCCACTGGAGGAGGGGCCGGGGGGCGCGGAGAAAAACGCCTGTTTTGGAGACGAGGTCATTCGCGCCGACGGCTGGACGGGCGACGAAGCCGCGCGCAAAGAGCCTCAGTATGGCTGAGAGTGATGGCGATGGCTTCTTTGGTGGCAGTTGATGAGAGCAATTGAGTTGAGAGAGACTCAATTGAGAGACGTGGGCGCGGCTGCTGGATGCCGGATGATGAGTGGCAGAAACTTCGGGCGAGAAAGACCGGCTGACCGTTTCTCAGTGAGCAGTGTCGTGAACAGCATCTGCGATGTGATCGCGTACTGCCCGTGTGCGGGCGGTGCCTGATGACGGGAAGAGAGTGCAAGAAAGGGTACAAGTTTCGGGCACCCAAGCATGCGGTCTTCAAGGAGAGCCACAAGTGGCCAGCGCCGCCGAAGAAGCTCAAGTTCATCGATGAGACGCGCGGGGTAGAGCTCGGCGAGACGGCGGACGGCGATGAGCCCATCGAAACCAACTCATCGCGAGGTGATGAGGAGCGAGGCGATGAAGAGACGACAGCGACTTCGCCCGAAGCAGCGACCGTGGGAGACTCGGTCGTTTCTGAAGAGCAGCAGCTACGGCCGTCGCTCCAAGCAGCAAAGGCCGCCAGCTGGCCTCTTCCCGACGAGAGCCTTCATGGCAGCAGCGTCGTTGATGAGCCTTTGTTGTCTCAGCGAGGCTCACTGAGTACGCCCGGCGGCGATCACACCAGTCAACATGACAGCCAGCATGGCAGTCTTCGCGAGCATTCCAAATCCGTCGACATACTGCCGCCGCTGGAGCCTCTCGTGCCGCCAACGGGAGGCATCTACACTGACCGTCCCATCTGGCCGATCCAAGGACGCCAGGAAGCTACACTGTTTCGTCACTACGTGGACAAGTTGGGCTTTTGGGTATGTTGAAATGAATGCAATCGCTTACTGGAAAGACGCTTTTCTGACAATGTGCCAGCTCGACGCGTGCGACCAGTCAAGAAGCTTTGAGACGGAGGTGCCGCAACGCGCCGGCTCATGTCCCATCCTGCTCAACGCCATCTTCGCGCTGGCAGCACGGCATCTCAGCCTGACGAGCGCGTACGACTCGCTCGCGTCAAACAGATATCATGACGAGTGCCTCAACTACTTGATCCCGCTGCTGGACCACGCGGCAACGGTGTCGGACGAGAACTTGTTCGCGGCAACAATCATCCTCCGCGTCCTGGAAGAAATCGACGTAAACACAGTCGGCCAAGACACGCACGGCCATCTCCTTGGGATTCACGCCTTCGTCAACGCCGGCGACCGCTTCCTTATGCCGGGCACGCTGACGGCCGCCTGCTTCTGGGCGGGCCTGCGTCAGGAGATCTACAGCGCCGTCATCAACCAGCAGGTCGTCCGGATGAACTTGGGTCATGCCATTGTCGACCGATCAACCACCCCGGCAGACGACTTCGTCTGGGCGAATCGTGCCATAGTCCACTGCGCCGACGTCCTCAATTTCTGCTTCGGGGCCGAGGCGGGGTCGGTGCTGCGATGGGGCCAGCTGGAAATGGCAAACAGAGAGTGGAAGAACGCCCTGCCGCCCTCGTACACGCCCATCTTCTACCGCGAGAGGACAGAAACGGAGGCTTTTCCCGAAGTATGGTATCAAAAAGCGTGTCACAGTGAGTCTGCCTACCTACCTACCTGCACCTGACGCCCGCCGGTTTCCGGCCCGGCATTCTCGACGCACTCGGTGTCCGAAGGCATCGTCATGTCATTTGGCTTTGTTTGTCATCGTGTTTGGAGATGACTAACTACGGTGGCAGTCATCGCCGTCCAACACCACATTCTCGCCGAAATGTACCTCGTCTTGTTCAACCCGAGCATCCCGCGTGTCGGGGGAACGCGCAAAGCGGCGGAAAGGCGATTAACAGAGCAGATCCAAGTACTATTACGCAGTCTCTGCGGCATTGGCATGTGCAATCAGGGGTCACCTCCAGCCATGTTCACGGCATGTATGGGGATAGCAATTGGTAAGTTCTTTCTTTTTCCCCCTTTCGTTGCTTTTTCCCTTATCTGCAACACGGTTCTTGCAGGGTTTCAGCAACTGACTTTTCTGCCCCCTTTCAAGCTGGTGATCGCTTCGACGAGAGAGCCGACCAGGAGGCTCTTCTCAACATGCTCAGCATCACCGAAAAGGCCCACGCACGACCCACGACAGCGGTAAAAGATCAGCTGATGCACGCATGGGGGTGGATGGACGGGGAGGCGATGAGCGAGGGGTGAAGCGAGGTTGGCGCCCCCGGGGAAAAAAGGACTTTGTTGCCACGCCTGGACTGGCGGGCCAGTTGTCGTGAAGGCGTTTGATGAAAGCCCTCATGATTGGGCCGCGATAATGATTTGTTGGCAGGCTTGTTTTCCCACTTGGACGGATCTGGATCACGATAGACGGGCTGGAAGGGCCCCGGACTTTGGATTCCCTTTGGTTTAGCATCTGTGGATACCCGACATGATGGTGTAGGTAGTATAGATTTTCGTGTTTTGTGACGGCAGGATCTGGCCTCGCTTGGCTCTCATGCAATGCAGGGCCGAAGAATCGGACATATTTCGCGATTCCAGCTCCTTGGCTGAGGCTATCTATTTCAGAGTCTACGGCGTATTGTGTCTCTCATCCCCGCATGCCGCGTTCCGGAACACACTCGGGACCTGCGGTCTGGCGTCAGACAACGCATTCCGAGTCCTACGTTAGGTGTGCCCCGTGGCCTGAGCGTTGAATATGACAGCTATTCCAGAGTGTTGGTTGGCAAGACATTATCGCGGGGATGTCTGGGGCGGGCGGCGTGGGGTTGGGCTGGCTCGCTCGCCCTCAACTTCCACGAAGAGCGATATTGGGAAGGAGGCCCCGATGAGATGACCCAGAGTTGATGTCAGACTCTGCCCGTATTGGAGACGCAGTTGGCCTGGAAGAGATTGCAGACGTCTGGGACGGTGAGGGGCGTCTTGGCAAGGGTCCCTTCGGCAAGTGTGAAGTGTTCGTGAACGCCCAATCAGTGGGAAGCCATTACTGAATCCAGGAGGGGATCCCGCGGGGATGGAGATGCGCTGCATGGGATCCCGGGAGGCGTGCCTTGGAGGCACTTCGAAAGAGGGAATTTCAAAAATAGTCTGCGAATCCCATGATGATGCGGCGGGGCGTGAATTAAGCTTCGCCGCAGGGAGAGACGCAAGGTGCCGTCACATTGCATTCAGAGGCCTTCCCGGATGGCGGCTGGCGTGGAGGAGAAGCGGGATGATGGTGTGGAGGAAGCGTTGGAGTTGCAGGGATGTGGTTGAGGAATTTCGGGAATAATTTCCCAGAACTGCGAGCGCGGGATACTTGGTGTTTTCCAGCGGTCCCAAAGAGGCATGGCTTGGCAGACAAAAGCTGCGGCCACGTCACGTGATACTCGAAAGAGGGAATTCGTGAAGAGTTCTAGAAAAATTGGAGACGCTCTCGAAAAAAAGGATGTGCCTCATTCAGGAAATCTACCGGCGATTTTGCCCCTGTTTGTCCATCCAAAACCTGAAATTCCCAATTACTCGACGCCTCCATCGCAACGCTCTCCACAGATCTGAATCTCGCCCCGTCTTTCCTGCTCCACGGGCATCACCACGATGATCCACGAGGCACGGCCAAGCGGGAACATGGCCGTGGCGGGAAATGGTAGGTTTTCGGATTGCTTAGCCAAGTTGGCTTGACAGGTACGAAACTTCACGTCAAACCGGCATGAGGAGGTACCTGTCTCCCCCGCCATGCGTGCCCCGCGACACATGTCACTCGCTCTCTCCGAGATTTTCCAGTCTGCTATGGCGTTTCCGGGACTGCTCCTCCATCGTTTTGTCGTCCTCCATACTAATCTCTCATCTCTATCTGCCGGTCTTGTCTTGCCATCAACAACATATTTAAAGACTGCCTCCAGAAGAGCCTCTCCAGATCTTCTTGTTCATCACCAAGTCAGTCTTCTCATTTTCAGTGATACCATTTGAGAGGAAACCCAAATCTTCTTCATCTTCAGGGTATTGCTTTTTCTAGTCAATTTTCCATCTCCTTTCACATCATTCACAATGGCCGCTGCCGTCGCTCAGCCCTTTGTCAGGCCCACCAACGGCCACGACTTGGAGGAGACCACCGACTTCGTCGAGGAGGTCAACATTCTCAAGGACCAGCTTAACAAGCAGTCCGACGACACCACCTACGAGGACTCCAAGTTCGACTCCGAGAAGGACAAGACCGCCTTCCGCCAGTACGAGGACGCCTGCGACCGCGTCAAGAACTTCTACAAGGAGCAGCATGAGAAGCAGACCGTCGAGTACAACCTTGCCGCCCGCGAGAAGTTCGCCATCGACCTCACCGGCAAGAAGCCCTGCCGCGACGAGATGACCATCTGGGAGGCCATGGAGAAGCTCAACACCCTCATCGACAACTCCGACCCCGACACCGAGCTCTCCCAGATCCAGCACCTGCTGCAGACCGCTGAGGCCATGCGCCGCGACGGCAAGCCCCGCTGGATGCAACTCACCGGCCTGATCCACGATCTCGGCAAGCTCCTCTTCTTCTACGGCGCTGAGGGCCAGTGGGACGTCGTCGGCGACACCTTCCCCGTCGGCTGCGCTTTCGACAACCGCATCGTCCTCCCCACCACCTTCGAGGGCAACCCCGACATCCACCACCCCGTCTACAGCACCAAGCACGGCATCTACAAGCCCGGCTGCGGTATCGAGAACCTCATGATCTCTTGGGGCCACGACGAGTACATGTACACCGTCTGCAAGGAGCAGTCCAAGCTCCCCCGCGAGGCTCTTGCCATGATCCGCTACCACTCCTTCTACCCCTGGCACCGCGAGGGCGCCTACCGCGAGTTCATGAAGGAGGGCGATGAGGAACTCCTCAAGGCCGTCCTTGCCTTCAACCCCTACGACTTGTACAGCAAGAGCGACGATGCTCCCTCCGTCGAGGAGCTCAAGGCACGTGGTCCAAATTCTCATCTCTTACATGCATCACATACTAACATGCTTCTAGCCTTACTACATGGAGCTCATTGATGAGTACTTCCCCTCCAGGGTCATCAAGTGGTAGACAACCAAAATTGTCACATTACGACTGGGTATGATATCAGATGGGCTAGGCATTCCGCCCTGGGACACAATCAGTTGCCAGAGGCACGGCGTTTGGGATATACTGTGATGGATACACTTTGTGTGAATGAGCGGTCATTTTTTGAATAGTTAAAACAGGCCAAGAGGCCTTTGGAGAGTCTCAACGAGACTACTCGAGTTCGGAAAGTCTAGACATATCCAATGGTAGACCAGCGCTCAGAAGAAATTGCTTTGAAGCGCATGAAGCTCACACCTTGGCCCGTGTTCGTGTTCGTGTCTCCACTGTGACGTGCGTGTCCGGGATGTTAAGTGAGGGGGTTGAGATTACTACGCAGGAATGGCCAACCAACGTTGCTCGATTACTCTAGTAGTGAAGAGAGCCAATTGACTTTTGCGCTATGAACTTCGGCTCCGGTCTGATTGGGCTAAGCTGGAAGCGACGTGCTACAGTCGGCATGTTGCCGAGTATATGCTCAATGAACCCCAACTTCAGACGCAAAGGCCGTTGCTGTTCTTATACGTAAGCAAAGTCGATCTGAAAAGTTAAGGCTTAGTTCAAGCTCGATGTTATGCATCGACATAGCCACAACTCTTATTAAAGTTCGGGGTGCCACCTTGACCTTGTGCTCGTTAAGGACTGGTCTCGGTCCCTTCTGATCCCGCCCAAATTTCAGTAATGCGCCGTGTTCAGCTTTGAAGACCGCAGATATCTTGCAAATCCGAGCTACAGGTCATTCCTTTGGGCCTTTCCGTCGTGTCTGCGATCGATCAAGAATTCGCTCGCCAGTTGGCTTACTGTTTCATCTGTGAGGCAATCTATCAAGTCAAAATCGTTTTCAAAGAGAGAATGATCGTACAGAAATCAACAAAACCAAGCACAACCTATCGGACGAAGTGTAATCTTATTAAAGCGAAAGATCTCGCGGCCGATTCCAACCAGCTTGCAGCAATCGTTATGTCCTCGTGCGGCCCCTAGGCGAGAGTGCTGTCTCCTGTCTGTATTGATTGGGGTCTTTCCGGTTAACGTAGTGCAGAATGATACCATCAAAGATTCTAACGTTCCAAGAAGCGGCACGCTATCGTATCCGGGCGTGATATCAAATTGATAACTAGTAAATATAGATTCTCTCACATGTATTCGCGTATGTGATATGTCACTGAGTCCGCGTGAGCCCTAGACGGGAGTGTGTTGCTCTACCGTGTAGCAGATGTGTTTTCTGGGAATCTTGGCATCCGTCAACAGATGAGTGTGAGTAGCAGAGCGGGATAATGCAGCAAGCGATTGAGTGCATAGTAGCAATGAAAGCGTCATGGGTGGGGAACCAAAAGTGCTTTTCTAACTAGAGATTTTCGTACCACCTCTTCCACGCATTCCCGATATATTAGAGTGTCAGAACTGGAGGTGGGGCATCTAGAGTGGACAGATATCCAGATAGATGAAAGATATAATCGTAGTTGCTCGTGATCAGTTGACCATAGGCTCACAGCTCGCTCCAGGTTCATAAAATGGCAGAGCACGTCGTGTTTCACAGCGGCCAGCTTCCAAGATCGGGATACAGATTCTGAAGGGAGATATCACAAGCTTAATTCATCTGCCATTACTTTGCCTGGTTAAGTCTTTCCCTTCTAACTTTGTTTTCACAGTTTGCCGCCTGTCGGCGCACCTTTTTGACTGCCGTATGACTTTGCCTGATTGCATCAAAGGGTAGGCGGTCTACAAGGAAATCTGGTCCACAGAATAACAGAGCACGTTAAGTTCCACGGTAGCCAGCATTTAAGATCGGAATACAGATCCCGAAGGGAGACACCAAAAGCTTCATTTATCTGATATTACTTTGCCTGATAATGTCAAAAGGTAGGCGGTCCGAAAGGAAATCCACCTGGCATTGTTTTCGCTAATGCCGTCCACCTTAGCTTGGTGAGTTCCCGGTGAGATACTTCGCGAAAGATCGTCAACAATACTCTGCATGATGAGCAATTGAATGATGTACTTTCGTTGAAATTCCTCTATATTGAGTAAAGATACTCTTCTAGATACTTGACTTGAACCCCCCAGTCACTAGAGGAGCATTGTAGGGGCAACAAAGCAGGCGTTAGAGACTTGAAAATTGCCAAAGGCATTCCGTTAATGGAAAATTTTTACTTAGATGATAGCTCGTAGTTCTCACTCACTCGAAGCCTTTATCAAGCGCATGGGGAGGCATCTCCTTTCATGACAAACCTACTCCTGCAGATGCAAGATCATACATCCGACGCGCGTGAGGACCGGACAGAACTCTCAAGTTGTTCCAAAGCATACCTTGTCCAATAATGAGAAGCCCTTCGATCTGTAGAGCAGATTGATTACCTCGTGTTCAACAAGCGGAAACTATCGCCAAGATGACTGAGCATTTCCACGTTCTCGATAATCGGCTTTTCAGCCTGTGATGAGATCAGGGCTGGCATGGGTAGAGAAAGGTATATCCCGTAATTATGCGGTATTTGTCCGGATCAAGAAGACTAGACATGTGAGAACTACGGAGCGAGCTTCTTCATGGGGACGACCAGTATTTCGAGGGGAGATGGAAAGCTTGAGCAGTGGGCCTCTACCTCATGAACTGGGCAACGTGGGCTTAATTACCGATGGCTTAAGGTTCGGGATGATAGGGGCGGCTCTTCAGTTGGCAGCTGTCGGTCCCGATATCGCGGAACTCCAGTTGAACCATTGCACCCAATCCCAAGAACACATGACTCCTGGTTTCACCTAAAGCGCCAGAAATGCCATGGATAATGGCGCGAGATACAGGCATTCAAATGACTCTTGGCGCCGACACCCATTATTTTGTCTGCGGGATTTCCTAAAACGACATAGCGCTCCCGAAATTCGAAGATCGTCGGCACCTTATTACGTCCCGAACCGATTCGGTCTCAATCCAAATGTCCACGCCGTGCGAGGCCCACCTCCACCGTGGCCCGCCCCACAAGACCGGCGATGGCATCAACATGGCCCAGGTTGCTAGGGAGGATCAATGAGCCGGATAGAGACAGAAGGGACAGGGTTATGAGACATATAAGTCCCATGGAGCGCCTACTATTGATCACGACCTCTCGTTATCTGCACTGACATCCTCGACTTTTTCTCGTCCGCCATGACTGTCAAGAACTACGACGCTCCCAAACCAACCCACGACAGTGTTGTTGTTGATGGGGTTCTGCAGTGGCCTTCTACCGGGATCAACGTTCTGATCGTCGGCGGTGGCCCAGCAGGCTACTTGACGGCCCTTGAGTGTTGGAGAAAGGGACACAACGTTAGCATTCTAGAGAAGAGCGAGCAGAACTCGACAATCGGTCAGTTTTCTAAGTAACCGGGGTTTCACTCGCCGTGCTAACATCCTTACCTGAAGGTGACGTATTATTCATTGGACCTTCAGCATGGACCACGTTGAAATACTACCCGACCCTGCTGAAGGACTACCACGATCATTCATGGGACAACTTCTGCTCCTTCCGCAGACTTGATGGTAGTCTCATTGCGCCGCCACAAGAATTCGAGTACAACAGGTCTGATGTGCCGCACCATGCCGCCTGGCCCCTGAGAGTGAGAGGCATGGTCAGCCGTCCAGGGCTGAATGAGATCTTTTACCAGCAGTGTCGACGTCTAGGCATCCCCGTAACATTCGGTGTGAACATCGTTGACTACACGGAAGACTCCAATGGCGGAGTTGCCAGCACTGTCGCTGATGATGGCCGCACATTTACAGCGGATGTTGTCGTTGCTGCTGATGGCCTGGGCACCAAGTCGCACAAAGCCGTTATGGGAGAGGTGATCCGGGCTGTGTCGACTGGTTTCGTAATTTGCCGAATCTTCTACCGCCTGGACCCAGAGAAGAACACTGCTCTGCATCAAACGCTCGCGGCACTCAAGAGGCCTGACATGAGAGCCTACTCGGGGTAAGCAGTCTGTATGTTTATGCCGAAGAATGAAATTAACCAGATGTGTTCAACGTCTCAGCGATACGTTTCACTGTGTTGTTACAGCCGCTAGTGACGGCATAGTTGTAGGCGTCACGATGCCAGTAAGCTATCCTTATCCCCTTAAAGTTCCATATAGGTGGGCAACGTGGCTGACCTGGCTTCCAGGATGATGGTACGGCACAAGAGTCTTGGTCTGAGACCATCACTAGTGAGGACTTTATCAAGCAGCTTCCTAAAGCTTCCGACACAGAGCATTGGGACCCCTTGATCATTGAGGCCATCCAAAACATTCCCGAGAATAGCATCGTCAAGTGGAAATTGTGCTGGCGAGACCCTCAGACCAGGTGGACATCCCCTGAGGGACGCATCATACAGCTTGGAGATAGTGCTCACGCCTTCATTCCGTCTTCGACCTCCGGGGCTACTACTGCACTGGAAGATGCCCAGTCGCTGCCCGAATGTCTTCGGCTGGCAGGAAAGGCCAATGTTGACATCGGGACCAAGATTCATGAACTCTTACGGTATGTGTCTTGCTATAACCTTTTGGTATCTGGTGATAATGACTGACACTACGATAACAGTCTTCGCCGCGCATCAATCCTGCAACGCCTGGGTCATGAAAACAGGCGCGAGATGCATCGCTTTGGAGGCATGGAGGAAGTCATGAAGCACGCACCGCCTGGTGGACCAATGGGTCTTGGAAAATGGATCTGGACGCACAATGCCGAAGAATACGCAACCAAGAAGTTTGCGGAAGCGCGCGCTCACCTGCAAAACGGTGCGCCGTTTGAACACACCAACCTTCCTGAAGGGCACAAGTGGGAGCCGTGGTCTATGCAGGAAGAACTTGAGAAGGAGAAGCAGGGAATCAACACGCCCGAGTTGAAGTTGAATGGAGATTGGGGTATTTACTAGAGGGAGTCATAGCGAAACAGGTTAATAGATAGAAAGATCTTGTAACATAGATAGACTTCTCCATTCTGCTGTAATTCCTCTTCTTACAGTTTACATAACTCACTTGAGATCAGCAAGTTGCGCATGTCGGGCTCGTTCTTTTGGACCCTGATTCAAGAGAAATTGTACCTAGACCACTAGCCCCCTCCCGGCTGCTAATTGCTAAAGCGCATAGGTCTCAAACCTGCCTAACTCAGAGCAAAGACGCCCCTCGGCACTTTCAAGCCAATCGCATCTTCCCTCTTCATTCTGTTGATGAAGATTCTTAAGGCCGACTCGAAGAAGGTACGAGTAGCTTGGGGCTATAGTGAAGAAGGAGAACGCAGAAGAGCTTGCATTTCCATGTGCTTGAGCAATTTCGACAACCATCTTCGTCGCAGCACGAAGGGCAGCGCGTGATTGCATCTGCCAAGTCCCGAGCACTGATTCGTCGTCATTACAGTCGTTGGGGATTTGATGGAGTATGTGATCATGCAATTTGAATAACATTCTGTTTCCTTTTTCAGTATTGAGAAATGCGCAGGCCATACATATACTTCTTGCTTACCTCAAAGTGATTGAAATAGCTTCGCACATGATACCCCCGCTTCCTGGATGTTGTTGTAGAAGCTGAGCAAGAAACCCTTGAGATATTGCGTCAAGATCCCGAAGTTGAGTCAGGCGAGAAGTTGTATTGGATATTTTGAAAGCCATGAGAACCTTGTTCACTAGCCATATTGCTTGAGCAACTCGACCGAAGCCCTCAATACTGTTCACGGACAAACTCGAAACTGGGCATTGACTTTTGACATCGGACCAATTTGAACACCGGATCTCCACTGGAAGGTTGCTGTCATCTTTAGGCATGAGAGTGACAAGTGGCTGCTCATCTACTGTCACTTCACAAAAGATTGATCTACAAGGGCCTCGAAGTCAGCAAGTATGGCACTCCGAGATGCATTGAAACTTACCGCTCGCAAATCACAAGCGCCCACCATGTGTTGAAAATCTCTTGAGATTCTCCATGACGATCAGTCGTTTGATGGCTTGCATGGATAGTTGATATAGGCCCAGTCGATCTCAATGATGCTTGAGGCTGGCATTGATGAAGACGAGCAGCATATGCTAGTCGAGCACAGCCAGCTAGGGTCGCAAATGCTTGATCTGGACGCCCATCTGCATACTCGTATACAGATACCAGAAGTTTTGACTGAACCAAACGAAGTGAGCAAGGATAATGACTTTGGACCTGGGCCAGGAGTGATTTCGTAACCATGTAGAGGCTCTGAAGGTCAGTAGGCTTGACGGAGGGACTATGGCTGATGCGTTTCCCCAACTTTGGTGTAGATGTAACCAAGCACATACTCAAAAGAAGGACTGAGAGTTCTGCAGGTGGTGACACCCCTGAAAACATCAGGCTATCTTCAAAATGAGATCTGGAGATGAATGGCAGATACCGATGAAGGCCCTCGAAATAGCGCACACTGATCCCGTCCACATATTGACCAGTGTCCCGTATTAGGCCTTGGATTCGCACGAACAAGTGCAATTCTGAAGATGGAATATCCGTGAGGATCACATTCGCTGAGTTGCGGTTGCAGTGCGCCTCGACGAGCTTTGATTTGTGGGCTGGGGATGGCTCTCGACGGACATAACGGCATCTCAGCCCTTTCCTTTGTGGCGCGTTATTACTCGGAAATGTAGAATCTGTCGATCGAGCTTACCTTCCGCAATATCCACAACTGGGTAGTAATTTGTCACATTTCTTTTTCCGAGATTTGCAAGTCAGGCATACCTGGGCGGCGAAGGTAGCCCTGCGTGTGCCGCTGTCGGCCGCCATGATCAGAGGCAGTGCTGAGGACATCTCTTACCTTGATCGATCGAGCTTGGCCCATGCATCGAGAAGATATTCATGATGCGAAGAGGAGTGATGGATTCACATCATATGCTCTAAACTGCTGGCTTGATTTGTAACCGCTGGTCTAACCAATTGCAGCGGCGCCGCCGTCGGCCGTCGTCGGAGCTTGCAGCCGCCGCTAAGGTTCTGATGTAAGATCTATTCAGAGGCAAAAGATTTGATTGGTCAATCGCCCCTTGATCCTGTGTAACCTAGTCTACAGCTGAAGTCCGGCCATTGTCTTGAACATGTGGCTTCGGGTACCTGGGAAACGTCCGTTTCAATGATTAGCTCGTTGGGATGAGGGGGAACGGGTATATAACTGCCAGTGATTCTCGTCTTCGAGCGTGCAGTCAACAAAGGAACACAGAACAGACATCACCTCAACATACCCATCGGAACACCGGAAGCAATGGATTCAAGCACCCTTTTTCGCGTTGACGGCATGGTCGCCGTCATCACTGGCGGAGGCAGTGGTGAGTCCCAGCCACCTCAGCCACAACCCCCGCAGCCCCTTGTTGAATCATCATCGCAGGTATCGGTCTCACTATGGCGAAGGCACTGGCTGCCAACGGAGCCCAGAAGGTCTACATCCTAGGTCGCCGCCTGGATGTTCTGCAGGCGGCAGCCAAGGACAATGCAGCCTTTGTTCCGATTCAATGCGACGTCAGTTCCAAAAGTGACCTCCAAGCCGCTGTCGACCAGGTTACCACGGAGGTCGGCTATGTCAATCTTGTGATTGCCAACTCTGGTGTTTTGGGCCCTCCGGTCCGTTTCAACCCGGATGAGAACATCTCGGAGACGCGCAAGACAATGTTCGACAATTTCAACATGCAAGACATGAACGATGTGCTGAACATCAACGTGACGGGCGCGTACTTCACGATGACTGCTTTCCTTGAGCTGCTTGACGCTGGCAACAAAAACGCGCTCAAGGGTGGTTTTGGAAAGCCCGCTCCTGGTGGGAAAGTCCCGACTGTCCAAAGCCAGGTCATCTTCACTTCCAGCATTTCAGCCTTCAGTCGTCATCGGGTCTCGACGCCTCCTTACACGACTAGCAAAGTTGCGATCATGCATGTGACCAAACATTCCAGCACCCAGTTAGCCAAGTTTGGCATTCGCGTCAACGCTCTCGCCCCAGGATGTAAGTCATTTACCCCATCTCGTGTGAAGGAAATCTAGCTTGAGAGCCGCCAAAGTCAAAGGGAAAATATATCTGACCGTCATAGTGTATCCATCCGACATGGCTGCTTCAATCATTGGTGACAGAAAGCCAGAGGACGAGACCCCAAGTGATGACAAGTTCATCCCGGCTCAGAGATTCGGTGGCGATGAGGAAATGAGCGGCGCCATTCTGTACCTCGCGAGTCGAGCAGGAAGCTATTCTAACGGTTCAATTCTTCTCACCGACGGTGGTCGCCTTTCTGTCATGTCTGGAACCTACTAAGAGATAGATTAATATTGGATGCTTCTATCCGACGATAATCATTTTGATCTACATAATACAGGCATGCCTGGCCAAATCAGATATATGGTCGTCGTCTTCATACTTTTCCACTGATTCTTCCCATTCCTACAACTTGCTGCCACTCAAACCAACTCTGCGCACTTGATTCCTTCCAAAGCTTCCTATGCATTATTGCTACAGTAGGTCCCTCATCGCACAGATCTTGCTGTTCTTGTGAGAACTTCCCAGCCTGGTAATAAGTTGTTGCATCTCAATCAACATCGCGTCCCAGTCGGCAGGTGGTATGCAAGCATCCATGATTTCAGCCGCGAGGAACCGCATGGGTCGAAGTCTTATCTCGAATGATTCTGGCTGTCTCTCACTTGTTCCTAAATCTTTCTCATATACCATGCAGGATTGAGGAAAAATGGAAGTGGCTCGAAAACGGCCTATCAGATCAGCGAATGCAGCCGATTTGGTGGGATACAATTGCCAGGGCTCTAAGCCATGGCACATCCATGCTTGGAAAGAAAAGGTCAGGCAACTTTGGCAAACCCTGTCGCGTAGACGAATAATATTCGCAACGAGGTAGTCGGCGCGGAAGCACCACCGCAGTGGTTCGTCGACAATTTCGTTTGACCTTGTGGTCCCGGCCTTCAAAGCGTAAATATGGGTGTGAAGAAAAAGGTAAAACCATGGCTCACGCCTTGAGCCAGCTCTCCAGTCGAGTTCTGGAAATAGTTTGCAAAATAATTCAGCCCTGGCCAGCTTACTTGCAGGGGTGTCTCGTGCGTGTCTGTTGAAATGCCGCCACCATGAAAGGATACTAGATCCATTTGCCCAGCGTTTTACCTTTCTCCCAGCCCTCTTCATAAATGTCGGCTGATTTCGGAGTTTCCCAAGTTTGGCTTGCGCGGTTTTGGCGGCAACTTTCATTCGTAGCGAGTACAGAGGCTGGGCTGCAGATATATACATTTGCCTCATAATGTCAGTTTCCTTTTGCAGATATCTGACATCTGAAAGAAAGTAGTCGACCAGTTCTTCGCCAAAATACAGCTTGAAGAGCGGCAGGGCGACCTCGAAACTATCGCCGTCTCTCGACATCTCACTAGGTGGTGTGCGGTTCGTTCGATGGTGTGGCTCTGAAAAAGGCACTGCTTTCGATACTGGTGAAACAACCGGCGGCTGGAAGAACTGTATTCGGCCCTACCTAGTTCGCAATCCGAGCTCAAATAGTTCTTTCGTCAAGTCGGAATACCGCAAGATTATGAGGCACGCTTTCGGGTATGAGTGTCTAATGGTTTTGAGGTTGTGTTTGATACTTCTCGAAAAGTCGGGATTTGGTGGCGGCCCTCTTGCTTTAATCTGATCCATGGCATCACTTACCTGAGTGATGATGAATTCATTGTTCAAAGGCAAAGAAAACTTTCGTTGTCCATCTTGAATCCATCATCGCCTACCTAGCCATTGTTACGAAGCACAATGCTGTTTATTAGTATGTTTAGAAACAAGACATTCCAAAGTTCTTTGTACATCGTCCGGAGGATTCGTTGTCACGGAACACTCATCAGGTGACCGTACAATGTTTTGTTTGAATAGCCATGTCCATATTACCGACGACTTTATCGTAGCCAGGTCCACTCAGCCAACACGGCTATCAGCCACGGACGGAACACCGATGGTAAGCAGCAACATTGGTATCTTCAATACAGCTCTGTTCTAGCGATGTCTGTTTCTGATGCATTAGCATTGCGATTAGCATCAAAAGTTGAATCCTCTCTTTGCTACACTCTTCTACCAAGACTTAGAGCTCTAAAATGTTGTGACACCCAGACCAAGTCAGAAACCAGAAGCAAGCAAGAGGTCAAACTTGGCTATGCTAACTAATGCACAGTTCTTTGCAAGGGCAGAAAAATGGCTGCAATAACGAAACAATTTTTTGAAGATGTTTCTGTAAGGTTGCAAATGAGCAACGCGACCTGAATGTTCTGATAAGGGAAAAAGGCCTGGCGTCTACCTCATACTACAGCAGGCTTCTGAGAAACTCTGATCTGGTAATAGCGGCACCGTTCCCTTCTGCTAAGGTTTGTGAAAAGAACACGATACATTAGTCTCAGGAGTCGAGTGTCGATGCGTGGATTGGAAGATGCAGGCACTAGGGAGAACCCCTAACACCCTTTCATGACCAAACAGCGCATTCTTGGGTATCCATAGAGTTCAGAAACTGTGTTTAGATGTTCATTGTACACGTGTAAAACCAAGAAGCCAAGCCATTAGAGCTCCATTTAATACCATGGGGTTCTCCACCAAAAACCAGGTCAATCGGACCGTTGTTTTCAGCGACCTGAAAAGCGAGCCCCTTTCTCAATCGGACCGTTATGCTCGACTTTAATCTCATTCTGCGGAGAACGGGGCATGATGTCTGGGGCCCCGGACACAACTCCGGCGTACTAGCGGAGGAGTCCGGGGCCTCCGGAGTGGAAAGTCGGAGACGCAGCACTTCCTGCCATCGAAATATTTGGGGAAATTTGCGGCTGGTCAAGTACAAATGACATGCAGGCGAGCCTTTAGTATCTGGATTCAATGCCTAAAAAGATTCTACTGGTAGTGGCCCTCCACCACTTCAGTAAGCAGTAGCGTCTTTCAATCAGTTATGGAAGCATCGTGGCGGACTATCGATGTGAATGAGTTTATCACAAGTCTTTTCCTAACGTTAACTAATAGCAGCCTACAGTCTTGGATATCTGCATGGTTGAGTCTTGTTTGATGGAATGCGTAAGCAAGTCTGCCTCGGGACATGCTAAGACGCCGGTAAGGCTTCAGGGCACGTTCAGCTTTTAAATTAGAATGCAACAAGTCTGGTCGCACCGTTAGCTGACTCGCACGTGAGGGTCTCGCGATCGTCATGGCATCACTCCAGTCGCTCATCCCGAGACGTGGTGTTACACACTCGGCCCACGGTGCCGGAGCCGCTTGCCAAAGGCCAAGAGCGTAGGAGCGCAAGCGCCCTGTAGACATTCAGAATTCGAAGAGGATTTCTCACCGGATCCTGGCAACGCGACCGTGTGGAATTTGATCGCTCACCGCGACTCCGCCTTGGCAGCATGGTGGCTGTCTTGGCTTCGCGCGTCGATTCCGTGTGCCATGGCTCGCGTATCCCTGCGGTGCGGCCGGCAATGACGAGAGCCAAGCGGCCGATCTCCAAGCCGCACTCCTACCAAAGTAAGTCACCCAACCGCATGCTGCCAAAATGATTCTGATGAACAGGTGTTTCTGGTCTGGCCTGTCTGTTTGATCACAGTTCTGTCAATACGCCTGCACGATTGCCCGACGTTTGGGTGCCACATCCATCGCGTCTGCTCACTTGTTGGTTGCATCCGCCGCCGTGGAATGTGTTGCCTTTCCCCAGACTATGGATGCTAGGCTTTCTCGGCCTGTCGCGTGGCGTTTCTTCTGGATCACGCCCATGGAAGAAAAGGGAGACAGGACGTACTCCGTATTTTCATCCCGCACTCCGCTCCGCATCCCACCCCCGGTCCTCCCACACCTTCTTGGCCTTCTCGAGCTCCCCGGTCTGCGCCCCAGTGACAAGCAGGTAGGACCGACTACGAGTCGGACAACGTCTGGGCAACGTCATGGTAGCGTTCCTATCGCTGTTTCTGTCAGGCGACCACAATTAACCATATTTGCGACACTGCAGAATGTGGCTGCGTATAAAGTCATCATGGTGCGTCGGAGACACACAGACGTCATACGGGTTGAACTATTTGAATCCTATTGCTTTTGACAGCAACCTTACCCAAACATCTGGGCTGTCCTTTTTCTCGTCACATGCTGTCATCCTGAGGGTTAGGGGTCTCTACTGCTTCTGCATCATCTTATTGCAGCAGGCAATTCTTTGACTTCGGACTGACCACCAAAAACACATCCCGAAAGCGCATCACAATTATGGGTTTGGGGAAGCAGTAAGTGCATCAATCTGCCGATGTTTGTTTCTAGTATGTTATCACTAACTTTGCAATTAGATCGATACGCGTCAATGGCGCCGACTGCGGTGTCGAAGCACTTGTGCTCGGAGTCGTAACGTCCATAGGCGGATTCCTCTTCGGCTACGACACTGGCCAGATATCTGGCATGCTCCTCTTCACGGACTTCAGGAAACGATTCGCAACTGGCCCTGAAGAGAACGGGATTCCAACATGGATTTCTATCACTCAGTCCCTCATGGTCTCACTCATGAGCATTGGCACACTGCTTGGTGCTCTGTCAGGAGCGTACACGGCCGATTGGTGGGGTCGACGACGAAGCCTTAGTTTCGGAGTCTGTGTATTCATCATCGGAAACATCATTCAAATCACCGCGATGAATAGCTGGGTTCACATGATGATGGGCAGGTTCGTCGCTGGTTTGGGCGTTGGTAACCTCTCTGTCGGCGTACCCATGTTCCAATCCGAGTGCTCGCCCAAGGAGATCCGAGGTGCCGTCGTCGCATCCTACCAGCTCATGATCACTTTGGGCATCCTGATTTCCAATCTGATCAACTTTGGTGTCCGAAACATTCAAGAGTCAGACGCTTCATGGCGCATCGTTATCGGTCTTGGCATCGCGTTCGCCTGCCCTCTGGGACTTGGCATTCTTGTGGTCCCTGAGTCTCCTCGTTGGCTGGCCGGCAGGCACGACTGGGAGGGCGCACGTTTGGCCATGGCACGTCTTCGTGGAATGAAGAACGACCCCAACAATGAGCTTGTCGAGAACGATCTTCAGGAAATGTTCAAGGTCCTCGAAGAAGAGTCTAAGACCGGAACTGGAACGTGGGCCGAGTGCTTCACCGGGTCCTCCGGAATACCCAAGACCGTATACCGCACATTTTTAGGAATACTCATCCACTTCCTGCAACAGTGGACTGGGGTAAACTACTTTGTGAGTATCTATATCTATATAATTGCGCTTAGCGTTGTATCTAATATGGTATTTAGTTCTACTATGGAGCCACGATTTTCGAATCTGCCGGTATCGAGGACCCAATCATGACACAGCTCATTCTCGGAGCTGTAAATGTGGCTCTCACCTTTTACGGCCTGTACGTTGTCGAAAAGTACGGAAGACGTTGGCCGTTGTTCATCGGTGCCCTGTGGCAAGCTGCTTGGCTTGCGGTCTTCGCGTCTGTTGGTACAGCTATGCCCCCCGACACCAGCCGCACCACTGGTATCGTTATGATTGTATCTGCGTGCATGTTCATTGCCTCTTTTGCAGGCGTAAGTGTTCCCTGCTCTGATACTACCGACTTGCAAAGATCATACTAACTCATCATAGACATGGGGACCTATGGCCTGGTGCGTTATCGGAGAACTGTTCCCGCTGAGAACCAGAGCAAAGCAAGCATCGCTAGCAACGGCTGGCAACTGGTTCGGCAACTTCCTCATCTCATTCCTCACGCCTCTCGCGGATGACGGTATCTCGTATGCATACGGCTTTGTCTTCGCTGGTTGCAACCTAGCAGCCGCTCTGCTGGTTTGGTTCTTCCTGTACGAGTCAAAGGGTCTTTCTCTCGAGAACGTCGACCGCATGTACAGCGATCCGAATGTCAAGCCTTATTCTTCGAGCAAGTGGGTACCTCCAGGTTACATTACCCGCAAGCAGAAGGACGAGTCTGCTTTCCACCGCGCTTCTACAACCACAGAAGCAACCGCTGTCGGAGACGGCCAGCACAAGGAGAAGTCGGGCGACGAGCGGCCGTACTCTGAGCACCATCACACGAAGACTGAGCCCACTTCGAACGCTGTCTAGCTTCAGGTCCCATCAGAGTAGGAACTTCCGGCGAATCTATGGATATCGACGGCATGTTTCCAACAGTTGTACTATTAGTTCTTCATAATGAGATCACGACCTTCTAACATGTTCCTTATTTGGTGTTTGTGGCGTAGCTATGTGGCTGTTTATGGTAAATCCTGTCATACCTCCGCCAAGGTTCGTCGGCGATGTCAAGCTGACTCTATATCGCCAGTTCGCATGAAGATGTTTGAAGGTCTGATGCGCTCGGGGAAATCATCAACATGGTACTCAATCTCCGGTCCCTCCTGTTTGAAACCCAACTTCGAGTAGACATGTCTCCCCATGCTGGAACCCTCGAGAATGGCCTCAAGTCCGCCCCGTCGCTTGGCCTCGTCCAGACCCCACAGCACCAATTTCTTGGCAGCGCCCCTTCCTTGGAATTTCGGGTCCACGGCGCACAAATCCAGCGCAAAAACGGCCGGAGGGTTCGCCGTCGCCTTTTGCTTGATGACCTCGGTGCGGCGCCGATGAAGGGAACCGATGCACTGAGCCAAGTATCGTTGCTCAGTCTCGTTGTCGGGGTAGAGCGCGTCGACTCCGAGGCTCTTCTTTAAGTCTGCAGGGCTCGGCTCGCCGTAGCCCTCGACAGCCGAAGCCTGCAGCCAAATGGCCATACCAGCGATTCTGCGTTGTCCGGGTTTCTCGGGGTCCGGGACCGTAGCCTTGAGGAAGACGGTGTTCGGCTGACCCTGCTTGTTGGTCGTGACTGAACGCCAGCGGGCAGCCATGCGCTCGGCGCTGGCGGCGACACCTCCGGGCGTGTCCCAGCCTGGGTTCATGCCCATGTAGACACCATCGCGCGCTTGGTTGCAGAAGGCGTTGATGGCAGCCTCAGCGGCCTGGTGGAAGTCTTCGGCTTGTGTGATGACTTCGATGAGGGGTTCCTGTGGCCCCGCGCTGTTGCCAGCCATTGTGTCTCGTTGATGCGGGGTGCGGGGTTCAAACACGAGGGGCTTGACAGCTGGTCTGAAAAGATGTTACACGAAATGCAATGCAATAACTCGTCAAAGGGCAGAGATTTCTTTGTGTGTGGAGGGGTAGTACTGAAGAGATATCCAGGAACAGAGAATCGTCTTTCCTCTGGGCCGTCAAGGTCGAATACATAATGCCAAGCCGGCGAACGAGAGGTCCAAGCCGCAATGATCCCTCGATTTCCCCGCGTGAGACCCACTGAACTCCGCATCTTGGGGTCATGCGTGCGGTGTTCGGTCACCAAATCCATTGTACTTGCGGCCCTGAAGGGGACCTTTTGGTTTTCGCTGCATCTTAATGTCTAATGTCTTGATCAGGCTGCGTGGAAGAGCAGAATGAAGGTGCTTATGGGTAGCTGTTGTTGCAGTCTCTGTAGACAGAAGGCTCTCGTCTCCTGCGGCAACTACAGTCCGTTTTTATGTATATAAAACTCCCTTTCTCGTTGTCATAAGGCATTCAATCTCGCACTAGTAAACGTGTGTTATTTGAGTGATTGTTCAAGCTGAGTAGTAAAATTCAAGTTTCATTGAGTTGCACACATGATGTGTTGACAGAATACGGCATAGGTAGATAGAGAGAAACTCGCCTGCTTTCGACCTGATGAAAAGTCTCAAAGTGTCACGGGCTAGAGCCCGGATTGATATCTCCGGCTTCGCCGGAGCAGTTACCGAGATCCGGCTCCATTGGACCCACTATTCTGCCGCAGTACGCCGCCTAACCCGGCCTGCTTCACCGCTGTTAGGTGCCTACCCTTATAAAGTCCTTTCTTCCTTCTTCAGCTTAGAATAGTCAATCGACGGCACCTCTACGCTGAACAAGCCTAGGGGCCAGCCCCTTACACAAAGTCTGACAATGGGTTATAAAGTGAGTCGATCACCTTTGCATTAGAATCGTGTTGTTTTCATTCTGTTCGGTCTCAATTCCATCGGCCCCGTTCCGGTTGATTCGGACCCCCTCCGGAGGCTGGCTTTGGAAGCGGAACTTGTCCGAGCGAGAGCCTGCTAGTACACGCAGCAAGCCCCCCTACTTAGAACAGACGGGGAAGTCCTGAGAAACGAAACAGCGAGAGGGATTTCGTCTGGATTATTGTGAGCTTTCCTTTTACACCATGATCAAGCTAAAGCTAGCGGAGACGAACTCTGTCATGACACCGATCCAGCTTCCTCCGTTGGCATGGAACTGTCACACGCACTGCTTCGACCCAGAAAAGTACCCTTTCAAAGCAACTCGCGCTTACACCCCCGAACCTGCTAGGGTTGATGCACTCATCAAAAACTCTCTCACGGATCAGCTCATGTTGGTCCAAGCGACCATAGAGGATGGGTATTGTGGCCTGATCGGAAATCTGAATGAGTGTCGCGACTCTGATCCCAGCAAACGGGTATTGGGCACTATCTTCTGGGACCCAGAATCAGTACAGGAGCTTCAGGGCTTAACGGCAGCTGGCTTTGATAAACTCCACGACGCTGGTGTAAGGTCTGTTCGTATTCATGGTTCATACGGGGGCTCGGGTGGCGATCTGGACTGGGTCAAGAAGCAGCTCCTGGACGTTGCCAGACATTGTCCTGTTCACCGACACGACTGGAGCATCTCGGCTCAGCTTCCACTTTCGACATGGTCATCATTGGAAGCTACCTTGCTGCAAGAACCACTCCTTGAGGGCGTCTCTATCATTGCCGATCACAATGGCTGTGCCAACCCCTCCGACATAGGTAGCGCGGAGTTGCACAGCTTCCTACGTCTTCTAGAGTCTGGGAGGTTCTTTGTCAAGGTAGGAGCCTTGCATAGACGGTCGCCAACGAACATCAACTTAATGCGCCCACTGATTGAGACCTTTGTCAACCTTGCGGCTGACAGTATCCTGTGGGGAAGCGATTGGCCTCATATTGATGGAAGTGTCCGGGGTCTTAATCCCACGCCTCCTCTACTGGTTGATACACATTTGGAGCTAGCAGCGTTGAAGGAATGGCTCACGACAGAGCAATGGATGAAAATGCTTGTTCACAATCCAACGCGGGTGTTCGGCACCGTCAAGAACTAGACATGGGGAAAACCTGGGGTGAGAATGGGGAATGAGGGGATTTCGGATCGGCTCCGGACCGGAGGCCATTTTTGGTCTGGGGTATGGGGAACGTGATGTGGGATTGAAGACAAAGCGCGAGGGACTCCATAACATTTGCCAAGTCAAAAAGACCCTTTTTCGTCTCTGTCTTCCATATTTCTAAATGTTTCTTTAGAGCTTTGTTTCCATTGCTTGCAGCTTGGCTCGGCAATCGACACAATTCAGACGACAACCAACACAATGGCGATGAACAGTGTTCCTAAACCTGCTTTGAACGAGGTTTCTAAGCAAGGAAGCGAAGAAATTGAGAATGTTCCAACAAAGAACCTGACGTTGATGGACACATACCGATCCTACTCGCCCGAATTCTCAAAAGAAACCGAACGACAGCTTGTTCGGAAGATCGACGCCCATCTCTTACCTCTCATTGTTATCATTTATCTGTTCAACTATCTTGATCGAAATTCGATTACCCAAGCGCGTCTCTATGGCCTCCAGGAAGACACCCACGTCAAAGGGGCAACGTATCAAACCGCCATTTCGATATTTTCTGCAGGCTATATCGCGATGCAACTGCCGTCAACAATGCTCTTGACCAAGATGCAGCCGCATATCTTTCTGGTTAGACCTCCACGATGGAAACACTTGTGCAACAGAGACTAATTTATGATAGCCTGGATGCATTATCATCTGGGCCATAGTGAGCGGCTGCACAAGTGCCACGTCTTCTCCAGCCGGCTTGCTGGTCGTTAGGTTCTTTTTGGGAATCGTCGAAGCCCCCTTCTTCCCGGGAGCCATATACTACCTGAGTTGCTGGTACACGAAAAAAGAGCTCGGATTGCGCATGGCCCTACTTGTGTGTGGGCTCCTCTTGTCGAACTGTTTTGCCGGTCTTATATCAGCTGGCATTCTTTCAGGAATGGCTGGCGTGGGACACCTCGCAGCGTGGAGATGGCTCTTCATCCTCGAAGGTCTTGCTACAATTTGCGTTGGAGTGACTGCTTTCTTCCTTCTTCCCGACTACCCGGGAACCACGAAATGGCTGTCAGAAGAGGAGAAGGTCATTGCACAGGGCCGCTTGGCTGCGGACGCCGGCAGTGAAGAAGTTTTGGGCGAGGACGAGATTTCGATGCAACAGGCTATCTTGGCTGCATTGGCGGACTACCGAGTTTGGCTGTTTGCCTTTCTTCAAATGTCGACAACTGCTTCCATCTCGTTCTCGCACTTTTTCCCAACCTTGATTCAAGAACTTGGCTTCAAGAACAACACCATCGTCCTTCTTCTTACTGCACCTCCGTACTTCTTCTCTTTCATCTGGGCCTTGACATTGGCTTGGGACGCCGACAGACGACAGAAGAGGTCACCACACGCGAGCATCTCTGCCATTACTGCCATTGCTGGGACTATCACTTTGGTCGCCATGGGTGATCAACGTTGGGCTCGCTACGCCATGACCTTCCTCGTCAGCGCTGGAACCTTTGGCATCTATTCAATGACTTACCCCTGGTTGTCTTCCACCATCGTTCAACCAGCGGTCAAACGAGCAGCTTCCATCGGTATTGCGAACACCCTAGCGAATAGCGCTTCATTGTTCGCCAATTACTTTTGGCTTGATGAATACGGCCCAAGCTTTCGAGTGTCCTGGGCTTGTATTTTGGCTTTTCAGGTACTCGGTTTGTGCTGCATCTTCGGCCTTCGTATTTGTCTCAAGAAGGCGAACCACAAGTTTGAAAGGCTTCGAAGTGAGGTGGACCAATATAATGAGGAGGCAATGAACAGGCTCGACAAAGACTCGCAGAGAGCCGTTTTGAACGGGTTCAGATACATCACATAAGCTGGCGGCTAAGCTTGGCCGAACTGGTGCGATGAAATACAGACAGATTATGCGGCTTGTTCTCAACAGTGATTGCACTTTTGGTCT